TTGATTTGAAAATTTATACATTTAATTCAATTAAACCGTTTATCAAACAGACCGATTCAAATCCAATAAACTAATCAGAGCATAAAAATCTTTATTTTTTATTCTTTTGATCTAATAATAACAACAAATAAATTCGTTTTCGAAAGAAACGAACTCAAAAAAAAAAAGTTATAATACAAATAGTTTTAATTAATTGGAATTTCGTATTATTTGATATACATCAAGTTTATATGTATTCCATATTGTATGTATCGATTTATATTTAACATGAAATAGTTCATCAAAACCATGATCTAAATCTAGATGAGGTCCAAATTGTTTTAAAAGATGAAAAGAATATTTTTTTTGTTTTAAATCAGTTAGATGAGTTTCAGAAATTTTCGGAAGTACGACAAATATTTGAATATTATTCATTGAATATTCATTAAATATATGTTCGATTGTTAAATCAAGTACTTCATGCTTTGCACCTTTAAGATCAATTATTATTGTTTGTAGTTTTCGTTCATATTCTGAATTTGACATTGATGTAACTAAATAACCTGGTGGCATATATGTATGATAAGTAATAAGAAATTTTGTATTCATATTATTTACAATAAGAATTTCATTAGATGATGATACAGGATAATCATGAATATATTTTAAAGCAGACACAAGACCACCTTGATGTGTATGACCGTAAATTATGGTTATGAAAATATTAAATGCAAACCATATACGAAACATATATGTATGAAGATTGTGTATGATTAGTAGAGGTACGATAAAAAGTATTAATGGAAAAATAAGTGGAAGAAGAAATCGAGGTTCTTGATGAGGAAATGTTGATAATGGAATAAATGGTACGAAATAAAGATATAGTAAGAATGATGAGATTGATTGTTCTATAATTAGAAATTAAATTCATTCAATATTTTTGACACAAAGAAAAGAATTTAAGAGAGAAATAGCTTTTGAATCAATACTACGTGTATTATGTAAACTTCCATGAGCTATGAATATCCTTACAAAAGCATATACTCTTATAAGGGATCACTTGAGATGATACTTCGTGATTGGGATGAAACGTCTATCATTATATAGAGCCTATTCGAAGTAGAAAAGACGTAGAAGGATTCTTTTTCATGCATTTTGGACTTATACGTTTGACACCGGATTTTTCTCCGGTGGAACAGTATTCATAAAAACAAAACCGTACAAACAAATTTTGATTTATAACTTTGTACATAGACAGTTTATCAAGTCTTTAGAATATTCTAAAAGTTTTAGGCAAAAAAACAAGATCTCTTCTCCAGATATCAAAACCAAAAAAAAACATATAATATTTCATCAAAAGAACGTAAAATTTAGTAATTTTGTAGATTGAATATTTCGGCAAGACATTATTCTTTTGGGATGAAGCTTTTTGGAAGACTCTAATAGTTTCAAGAACTGTCTACGGACAAAGCTTTAGACCAAACATCATTTATCGGGTTTTGTTATAAATACCGTCCCAAAAATACAAAATGCCCTGTAAGAGCCACAACTTCAAAAGGGACAGCTTACGGGAAAGAATCCTTCTAGATCTCTTCTAACCTCAATAGATTCTACGAATGAGTAGGATCTCAGCTCAAACACTAGGCATCGTCTTGGATGCTTCCTTCATTAGTTTATCGATAGGAAGATTCTGCATTATTATGGTATATTTTAAATGAATGATGTGGTAAAAGAAAAATTGTTTTTCAAATTTCGAATCGAAACTTTCGATAGAAATAGTCTTTTGTAAACGTTTTAGATCTTATCACTGCTTCTACTCTAAGATAAAAATACTCTGATAGCGTGTCTTTTACATCACTCATATAGACTAGCAGATTCGATGTTCTTATATCAGGATACAAACAAATTAAAAGACTTGTCAATACTCTTGGTTAGATCTATCTCTATACAAAGTCTCAAGTTAAAGTTCGAAAATCAGTTTTTCTATTGTTCCTGAGCAGGACTACGCCATTTATTTTAAAAATACTACAAATATACAGTATCTCAGCGGCAATGACCGATGAATACGAACTCTTTTGAGAATACTCGTGGCTCATTTTAATCTAAATAATACATAGAGTCTCGACTATAGATATGCGAAATCAAAGATTTTGATCCCAGGAACATCCTTTCTAGCGGCCTTGATAGCTTTAGTTTTTCCCGTTTGAGTCTACAGAAAAGTATTTCAGAATTGATTCGCATCACATCTAAAAGAATTCTTCAATACTCGTCTTATTTAGTCAATGAACTGCATTTTTTTGGGTCATCTCTCTTGAACTGTATTCTGTTTCATATGATTTATAAGATAATTTACTTGACACTCTAGATTATTTTACTATAAGTTTGAGTTCCAATCCTGGCCAACGTTTTTCTTGTGATTTCGCGCACCTCTAGTCTCTATCCAAAAGCGATGTATCAGTAGGAGGATTTTTCTCATCTTCAAGCATCAACAATTTTATAATACCTGATTGTATGGTTGTTATTGATCTTTTATGAAAAACTTTTAGAACGCGATCAATCATTTGTTGTCCATATTGTTTAATATTTAATAAATGAAATGAACTCCATAAAACAATACATAAATGTAGTGGACCATACAGAATTGTTGCATTAACAATAAAATGTAGCCAAGGTGGATGTAAACCATGTTGATCTAAATTATTTGAATCAACGTTATATAAAATGAAATTTAATGGGCAAATAATAAGATGATTTTTTAAATCCGTTATAAATGAAAATCCATTATTATAATAATATGAATCAAAAAGTATCAGTAAACATGATATTATAATAAATGTTCCAACAATGAACGATATTATTCGACTTAATAATAAATGATAACGAAATGAATGATTAAATAATGGAATTATATTTGTAAACCAATAAATAATCGGAACAATAGCAAAAGCTGGAAATGTTGGACGATTAAAAATACCTAAAGCACAAATTAAACCAATTAATGATGAGGTTATTATTATATGAACATTATTATTCATTGATTGATATTTAGATTGTAATTTATTTTGATTGGAAGAATTTTCAGATTTAATTTCATTTGATGAATTAATAATAATTGATAATAATGATGAAATATTTATATTAACAAAATAAATAAGAGCAAGAAAAAGGAAAGCTTCAAATGAATTTGATAATGTACGTGTAAAAAAAACAAGTGTTACATGTGCTATACCATAATAATTCATTATTATTCCATATTGCTTAGAATTTAAATTTGGATAGGATAATTTAATCATACGATAAAAAAGAATATCTGTACATAATGATAATAGAAGTATAGTAGAACGTGGAAAAATAAGTTTAAGATGAAATGGTATCGAAGACCAATGAAAAATAGATGATAACCATGAAAGAATCGATACAGGAAGACCATAAAGTAAATAAAGAATAGCTACTGAACGAAGTGGTGCTGTTGAATTGAATTCATGAGTTCGTGTCAAATTAGTTCGAAATATATCGTCTAATAGAAATAATTAGAAAAGATTTCTTGTGAATTGAAATAAACTAAACATAAAAGTTTTGAATAAACAAAAAAAACAACCGAATTTCGAATGATTCATTGTGATTTTTTGTTAAACATATGGAAAAAATCCAGGCCATATTTCATATGAATTTATGATATCTCATTATTTATTAAAATACTAGCTACAACAAAAGAATGAACACATCTGCACTTTGTAACAGCTTAACTAGGATAAAATATACTGATACATGGGTTGTTTAATCACATAAAAGTCTGAGCTCTTCTTGTTATCATTAGTTAGAAAAAGAACGAGAAAGCTTCATCCAAAATCATCGCTAGTAAGATTAGAAGTCTTTCTAATGCGAACAAAATAAGGAAAAAAACATTCCTGAAAAAACTATGTATAATTTGATACTGTGTCTTTCACTTCATCGATTTGTAAAAACAAAACTTTTGCTTTTATCTGTTTGGTATTCAAAAAACAGTCATTTTAGTTTAAGATCGAATGCTTTTACGGAAACATGTATTCAGTATAATGAGTTTCGATAACTTCTAATTGGACGATCATTTTTCTCGACATAAAAAACTTTTGTTCAGAATTAAATTCATACTTAAAAACTGTATCGCATGATGTATAATGTATTAATCTTTTTATAAAAAAAATGATTCCATCTCTATATACAGTAAGGGCCTCTCATAGTAGTTTTTCGAATTTGACTTTTCAAATTATATGGGTATGTGAGAGATGATAAAGCAATATAGAACAGAAAATAAGGTCTTCCTAAGTTAAAAAATCATATCCATCTGATCTATGAAAGAATGCCCAGTGTTCTGATCCCAGCAGGATCGGAACTAATCCCGCTCATGTCTATCAATAAGTGATTTTTAATAAATGAGACACTTGATCTCAAGTCAAACGGTGTTGTACATTTAGAGATGATCGTTAATAAGTATTTTCAACAAACTCGTATAGCCAGCGTTGTTTTAATCATCTTTTTCTATTCAAGCAATTGATTTCATCAAGTTTGAAGACATGTTCATTGATACATACCAAAAACGATTTCTGGTCCTTGAAAAAATTCATCCTAGATGAAAAATTCTATGAATATTTTATATGAATATAGTCATACTTACTGGATGAATATATCCTTGTTGAGAATATACTAATGTCCAAAGAATTCGAACAATCACACCAATAGAATACCAAATATATTCTGGTCGATACAAATGTTCGATAAGAAATGATCGAACAATAATTGATCTCCTAACTTTTCGAGTACCATTATTATCACCTGCTTGTTTTGATATCAGTGTAGGTCTCATATGTTATTATTATTTTACAAATATTTAGATTAACTAACTGATTGCATTATTTTTACTAAAACAAATGGCGCCTAAGTATTGATCATCTTAAAATATGTAAACAAACTCATTTTCAGCTAATTTTTTTAGTAAATAGAATAACAACAAAAAGAAAAGGACACAACATTTTTTTTTTCTTTTATTTAGTTAAACGTGTCCATCGTTCACTAATCAACCATAAACGTTTAGCTTCTTTTTCATTAGTAGCATTTGGTACAATTGGTTCTTCTTTCATATCACTGAAAAATTTACACACAAAAAAAAGAATTTTTTATATATTCATATTCTATTCATTAAATACCTAAAGTATTTTCCACATTGACCATCAAGTTTTGGATCAAGAGCACATTGAAGTATTGCTTGTGCACCTTGTATTGGTGTTTTCATAAATGCTTTTAAGAAAGGACCAATTATAACTCGACTTACAAATGATTTATCAACTGTATGACGTGCTATGTCAGTTCGAGTTATTCCAGGATTAACACAATTAGCTGTTACGCCCGAACCTAGTATAAAAAGAGTAGAAGAAGAAATTCGCATTCATATGATTTTGATTATGATTAAACCTGAATATCGTCGACAAAACTCTTGTGTAGATAAAACAATAGCAAGTGCAGTTTGTTCATAAGCTATTTTTGCATTAAATTGTTTTTTTGACATATTTAAATCGTCAAAATCAATTTGTCCACGTTTATACATTGATGATGTTACATTAATTATTCGACTTGGTGAACATTTACTTAATTTTTCCATTAATAAATTCGTTAAAAGAAAATGACCTAAACATTAAACAAATATTTTTTGTTTTAAAAAAAAAAAAAATTTAAATTTTTTTTCATTCGACTCACACCGAGATAGTTAACACCTAAATGTTGTTCAAAACCATCTTTAGTTAATTTTAATGGATGCCACATAACACCAGCATTATTTATTAATAAATGAACATATTTTTCATTTTGATTTATATCATCAGCAAAACGTTTTATTGATTCAATTGACGCTAAATCACATTCACGACAAACAATATTAGTATTAAATGAATCAGCAATAATTTTTTCTCGTGTTTCTTCACATTTTTTCATATCACGACAAGCCATTATGACACGAGCACCTGAATACAAAACCAAAAAAAAAGAACATTCGAATTTTAATTATTGTTTGTGTTTGTAGAATTAATATTCATACCTCGTCGAGCAAAATCATGTGCTACTTCTTTTCCTATACCTGTATTAGCACCTGTAACAATAGCTGTTTTACCAAATAGTTGTTCATTGCCTTTATATTGTGCTTTGACAAAATATTCTCTTATAATTAGAAGAAAATTAGTAAGAGACTCTAGAGCATTAGATAATAAACGTACCGATAAAGTACTAAACCACCATAGATGCCTGCAGCCCCCGTGAGACCAACGGTAATTGTTCGCATAAAAGACATGATCTGAAACCGAGATCCAAAGCTCTTGTTTATATTTCTTTTGTTTGCATTTTAGAAAAATGCTTATATTTATAGTTTCCTCATCTTTTTGTTTATATAGTTTTTATAAAATTCTTACAAGATTTGTTTTCAATGCATGTAAGCAAAATGCGAAAGTAATAGACAGATGGAGAGAAAGAGCGCAAGAGAAACAAAGATGACAACAACATCAACAACAACAACAACAACAACAAAAAGAAGAAGAAAGTAGAGCCAACAAGTACAACTACATGCAATAAAATATCGACTCTTGTCGTTTTAGATATCTTTCAGTCTGTACACACATACAAATAGACGCACGCATACAAAAACAAAAAAATGAATCTGAACTCACAAATCTCTTTTATTTTTTTCTATCGTCCGAGATCGACAGAAAAAAAAAGAAAATCAAACAGAAGTGACGATGATACGTACATATACATAAATAGATAGATTGAATAAGGAAGAAAAACAAAAAAGGGCACAAAACAAAAAAAAAATGAACATGAAGAAGAAACATATCGTGTTTAAGCATACGCACGTACACACAGACATCATCAACTAATGTTTGCTCGGACAACAGAAAGAAAAATTTTTATTTTATTATATCTTATTAAGTCTCTTAGTTTGTGTGTTTGTGGGATTTTGAAACGACACCTGAGTTGAGAAGAACAACAAAAATATATTCACTTTGCTAATTCATCATTACTCCGTTTAAATACTTTAGTTTGTTCAGTATTATTGTCATTTGATAAAGATATATTAGTATCATTCGATATTGATGAAGAATATTGTTCATTATCATTATGATTATTATTATTATCTTCCTCAATTTTACGTTTACGTGTTGTTGATGTGCATAAATCACTGTTACTACTATTTTCATTGGATTGATTTGATTTTACAGACACATCGTTTTCACTTTCGTCTTCTTCTTGTTCATTTTCATCATCATTATACTGATCGGCAATACTCGATAAACCAGGACTCTAAATAATTGAAAGAAAAAATTGTTTTTTTTTTATTTTTGTGAATTATGAATGGATGATTAGAAAGTTTTTAGACAATATGTTTGTTAGCTTTTGACTTACAAGGAAGTGTATTGACGATGAGTCAAAAGCTATAAATTAAGATCGGAAATTAAATCTCATCTTTAAAAAACCCAAAAAATTCGTTTGAACAGAATATTCTTGAATTTTTACTATTGCAACTCAAGACTAAAAGTTAGAATCTTTATTCATATATCAACTTGTAGAACGACAACTATCCTACAAAAGTTGTCAGCTGTCTTCTGTTTAACGACGTACTTGAAAAAAATGCTTAATTTAGCAGATTTGAAAAAGGATCTATAGAATAATAACACAAGTGAGTTTAGTCACCATTGAAAATAACTTTTCAGATTTTTGAAGAGATCTCGAACAAAAATAGACACAAAATGTCTAAACTCATATTCAAATTCAGGAGACGATCTATAGTTTTTGAAATACTGTTAAGTAGGTCCAAATGAACAAACATGTTGTCTAAAAACTTTCCAATCATCCATTGTTATTATGCTTTTTTTTAACCATAGCAAAGGTAGATGTTGGCTCAATTGGCCGAGGTGATGAAGTTGGAGAACCATTTGTTGTAGATTGAGGAATCTCAACTCGAAGTGTTGTTGAATCATGTTCAGAACTTGTAGATGATGAGGAAGATGATGGAGGTAATTGACCAACAGAAGATATCGGTGAACGTCGAATATGAATACTGATTACTGGTTTATTATACTGAGAACGTGATGATCCTAAATAGAATGAAGAATTATCGTTTTTTTTTAAATAAATTCGAAAAAAAAAAAATTTTTTTTTTCTTACTTGATTTTTTTTCGGTAGACGCCATTGGCAATCCATCATCTTCATTATCTACGGAAAGATGATGAAGTCGCATTGGTTCATTAGTTGAAATTGCACTACTATTCCCACTTATTTCTGGTTGACTGTCTTCATCATCCGAGCCACCATTAAATAATGTACCATGATTAATTAATGATAGTTTATTTTCATCACCATCATCATTAAACCAGTTTTCTTCTTCAGCATCAAGATCTCGTTCATCTTTTCGAAGACGTTGAGATTGATGAAAATGTTGAATAGGTAATAAATGACTATTATTCAGATTGTCGTGCAAACGTGAAGAACCTATCGGTGAACTAAAACAAAAACAATGTATATAATTCTCTAGTATGAATGACTAGCAGAAAAAGTATTCGTAGAAAATTTGACTTAGGCATAACTCATTTAACATGGAACTTTTGAAAATTTCTCTTTTAATTATCTTTTAGAGCAGTAAAATAAGAATTCTAATTCAAAAAAAATAGTTTAGAGACTTATATGTTCTAGGAAGCTGCAAGTTAATGTTTTTGTAGACCTGTTTAGAGTTTTTTTTCACCAATATTTGATATCTTCTGTTTAGATGAACAAGGGAGTGATCAAGCTTTTAGATTTTTGTTGGTTACTCTGAGAAAAAAAATCAACGTAGAGTTATTTCCTCTTGCTCACTTTCTCATTTAGGAAAATTTAGATTCACGAAAAACATATATCCAAATGTGAAAGGATTCGAAGCTACCTAATGAGCTTAAACATCTTCAATTGATATGATATTGTTAAATCTTAATTCATGAAGGAATGTTCCTGATTGTCTAATTGCCTTTTGGTTGAGACGAAGATAATTTGATCAGTTGTCCCTTAGAATCCTGCGATTCTCAAGAAAATGGAATTGAAAACTTTTTACTGACAACTAGAGTCATCTAGGGCGTGGACGAAGAGATTGTTAATAACTACACCTTCCACTCTTTCTACATTGTTTTTCTTTTTGTTTTATCTTTTGAAGAAATTGATTTTTTAATAAAATAACAAATATTAACAAGTTTGAAATATGAAAGATAGCAATTTCTAAAAAACACTCTTATTATTTATTTTATAAACTATCAATAAATCACCAGGTTCCAAAGCCACTATTTTAAAACCGAACTTGAAACTGCGGTTTCGATTCGGATCCCAGATCTTTTTTTGGAACCTTAGGGCTCTATTATTCATAGATAGGTCTTATAGTCATTCGAAAGCTTGAGCTTGCCATAGAAACGTCTTTCTTTGAAAGCATAGCATAAAGCAGATGTATCTTTAAAATGTTAATATCTTATCAAGAATATATATGTTCTGACTCCAACATCGAATTATCTATGGAAACAATATTAGTTTGAAATGCAGAATCAGAACGAACTTTTCTTACGACTCATCATGACCAATCGACTGAACAGTTAGTAATGTTCTCTCGTTAGCTATAAACTAATTTTCAAATCATCATATTCAGTACTTTTTTATAAAAGATCTGAAAAAAATCTATTTCATGAGTCAATCTAGCTCAATTCTATTAGATTATTAAGATTAATTTTTTTGATTTTCCTTTAGAAGAAAATTTAATAAAATCATATGATTTTTCTCATAAAGAATTATCCTTTTAAAATAACTTACTTATCATTAAGCATTCGTTCTCGTCGATCTCTATGAGCATCATAACGTAATTTTAAATCATGAAATGTTTTAACATAAGTTACATTTTCAAAATCGGAATAGAAATTTTCAACGAAATAATTTATTAATATTTTTATATCTTCCTAAAATAAAAAGAAAAAAAGAAACATAAATAAATTAAATAATAATAATAATAATAATAATAATAATGCTTACATGTCGAATAAATTCAAACAATTCAATTAAAGCTGAATTTAATAAATTATACCGTCGTTTATTAGATTTAAATGCATCAACAATAGGTGCAAACAAATTATTGCGAACAATTGTTACATTGTACTGTTCATCTTTAAGGCCAACAATTTTTCGCAAAAATCGAAGTGCACCTAAAAATTACATAATTTCAAATTAGAAAAAAATAAAAATTTTTCAATAGATATATTAACTTACTAAGTTGAAGAAATTGATGTTTAGATTTTAATAATACAAGTACACGTCGTAATAAATCTTTTTTATTAAGAAAATTTCTCATATGATATGTATGATGTTCAACACAAAATGTAACAAAATCAAGAATTAAATTTTGCAATTGAGCTATATGAAAATCATCTCGAGCTAATTTAAGATCAGATGAATTAGCCATAAGTGGAGCAAGTAATACAGACATTGAACGAAAATAAAAAAATGATAGAAATTCGGTTTTTTCACTTATTGATACAGCCATCATATTTTCAGGATCAATTAATAATTTAAGATAATTCATTAGATTAAGTGCACCACTTAATTCTTAATAAAGAAAAAATAAATAAAAAATAATTTAAATATAAAAGATGTTCTTCTTTTCTTCATTTAATAATAATTACCTGGATCTGGATCACTTTGAATTTCACTTATAACAAGATTGAGAAGTAATTCGTCATCATCTTGTGTTGATTGTGTTTCTTGTAACATATATTCACGAACTGTTGATGGATTACATTCAACTATTGAAGCAAATACATCAAGTGCGGCTTGTTTTGTTGTCGTGTCATCCAGACTCTAGTTTATTTTTTTTTAGATACAAATTTATTCAATTTAGATATGACGTTTATTGACTTACAAGCATTACTTGTATGACATTCAATATACCATGAGTGGCAAGTGCCTAAAAGTAAATAATCATGATCGATTATAATTTAAAAATTCGACACACGAAATAGGAGAACTTTTAAGCAGACGTAAGCGAGGAAGATAGGATCAGTTTAATTGAAAATATCTTTCTCAAACATAGTCAAGAATGAACTTTATCGAGTTTATAGTAGATATATGAATGGGATCAGTTATTGGTAGTCCTGGTCCTAATCAAAAACAAAATTGGTTCTGATTTAGACCAGAAAAAAAATTAGTCCCAGTGCCTATTCCAGCATGATCTTGTCCATATTTCTATAGGACACATGAGTCATGATTAGAGATGTATGAGACTAAGCTTTTTCTAATCTTGGCTTCGGTAACTTTTTCCATTGGTTCTGATGATTATAGTCTTTTGGATCCCGATCTAGAGAATAATATCCTAGAATTAAATCGTATTACACTTAAAAATATTCTTCAATACTCGTTATTTTGGTTTATATAATCAACAACTAGCATTTTTATGAGTCATTTATCTTAAATTATGTTTCGATTGATGGTTTACAAGATAATTCGTTTAAAACCTGACCAAAACTAATATTAGTGCAGCACATCTCTAGTCGTAACGATATGACATTCAACACAAGTTTCACACAACCATGATGGGCATCACTTCCAATAAAATAGTGTTGGTTCTAGTTCTAATTTTGTACATATTTAATTGTTAGGCTTATGATTCAATAGCATATACCATCCGTTTCAATTGAGTATGATGATAACCATCATCGAGACAAATCAGCCTTGATTTCTTGTATGTGCCGTTGAAATTCATATCAATATTGATATAAAGAAATATGTTCTGAAAACTATTTATAGGAGTATTTTCTGCAATTTTTCTCTTCGAGAGACATGATTCAAAACTGAGAGGATGAAAACATCGTACATAGTTCACCAGTCCTGAATTCCAGGAAAGTAAATTCTATCTCCCCAAACCATTGAGCCTCTTGGTCTCGATATTGTATAAAATATTGGTTAGTACAGTTGATTGAAAACATTATTCTTATAAATTTCTCTATTCTCGATATCATCATTAGAATGATCGAATCAGATTTCGTTGTAAACAAGAAATTTCTTATTCTTGCATCTAATTTTTCTTTAAAGACTTATTCAAAAAAATATTATTAATCGAATAGGTTTTTTTAAAAACATTATACCATTCTATGAAATTTAAACTAAGAAAAGCATTCGACCGAATTAAAATGTGAAAAAGATCGAAAATATTTTACTAGGAATGCTATATTACTAGTACTCGATAAAATTGGTAATAATTATTATTACTTTGACGACATTAGAGTTATTGTTGTTAGCAAAATATAGTGTTTTCGTAATTTGTTATTACTAATTACTTTTTCTTACTTTTCAGATTTTATCATCACTTCCTACTGTAATAAAATAATAACAAAGTATTAATTATAACATGCCATAGATACGAACAACAGATAAGATATTAATATATAACTATTATTTATTTATTAAATATTATTTTGTAGATCTAATCAAAAACTTTGTATCATAGAAAAAAAAATATAATAAAGAATTCTATTCAATTGTATCTGTTTATTCTTTGTTTATACTTTTTTTTACGATGGAGAAAATGATTTTCTCTATTATTTGCTAGTCTTTGTCAAACAGTCAAATACAGGATGTTCCAAAACTCCCTATATAAAATAATAATCTGCATATTTCTCTTATGGTTCAATCGAATGAATCGGTAATACAGGACATTTCCAAGTTCAATATACAATAGAATCCTTTTATGACATTCAAAAAACACTACATAGGATTTGTCTTATATTTCTCAGGTCTTTTTCATTATCATAAGTCTTCAACTATCTAGCTTTCTTTCTCTGTTTTTTTTTATATGACTTCATTTGACACTTCAGAACGATTTATACATTTCTTTACAACAATTTATTCTTTCACCGTCCAAAATTTTGACGGTAAGTACACTCAATACACTAACTTGATTTTCGAGTTTTTTTTTTCAAAAGTCGAAAAACGATTTTATCGTATATTGAATCTGAGAGTTCTGCTTTGTAGGAGAATTTAAATTTTTTTAATTAGAGATGTGCATGATAAACTTTTTTCATACCTTGGCTCAGAGAAAGTTTTGTAATTTTAACTCTGCCATATGCTTATCCGAGGAGAAATAGCAGAGATCTCAGTGTAGACGTCTTTTGAAATCTTGTGATGTTTCGTGCCGTCTCATAAATTCTGCTGTTTAATCTCTCAGCTTATCCGTACTCTATTATACCCCACAGGATAGGTTAAGGTGACCCTGAAAATCTATACTTTGTATGTATATATAGAAACTTGGAATTATCATCCATCACCAATACAAAAAAATTTCATTCAATGGAACCTTAATAGAGATATTCAAATCTATTTTTTTTTCTATAGTAGTTTTCTAGACAACCTGCACTCAACTAATTGATCAATAAAAGGATTGATACAGATATCTTAATCCGTATATTACTTTTTAATAGCTATTAATTATTAATAATCATGATAATATAGCATTCATATTTTGTTATTGTTCTTATAGTCTTTCGTTATGGATCATTGCTTTGGTAACCCACGCAAGTTTAGAGTAAACAATTTTTTTTTTGTTTTTGCCTAGATTGTTACTGACAAAGACCTCGCATGATTGTTCAGTAAACGAGATTATAATTGAATTGTGACTTATGAATATTTTTCGTTCGAAATTTTTCTTGTCTTAAATTTTTTATGTAAGCTTTTGTTATTATGTACATAATGAAAGCAAATCCATAGAGAAGAATTTTTTTTATTATGATAAAACTTACTTGAAAAAAATTATCTCTATTTTGTTGTTGTAATGTTTGTGAAAAAACACAAAATTCTTTAAGAAATAACATAAGATCTTTACGTTTATCATCTGATAAATTTTCATCTTTTAATGTTGAAAATAATTGACTAAGAAATTTTGGATCTTCCTAAAAACAAAAAATAAAAAACAAAAGTATTTTATAATTAAAGAACATTAAACAAAAAGAAAAAATTCTTTTATCTTACATATAATAATGTCACAATATCAACTTTATTAAAAAATAAAAAACTATTCATTGTTGATAATAAATTTTCTTCAAATAAACTTGGTGCTGGTAAAATTGCATCTTGTATATATTGTACTCTAAATGTTTGATGAATTTTTGCTAATAATTCTTGATTAACAATTGGTATAACTTCTCGAAATGTGGCTTTTGTATCTAAAAATTCTCTATAATTACGTTTATCATTATAATTTAATTGTGAATCATATTCTAAACAACCGATAATATCCATTATAAATTCTTCACTAAATAATATTTCAAATAGACTTGATTTATTTAAATAAAATATTGAACGTATAATTTCATATATTTGATGTAAAGATTCAATATTTTCTAAATCTTCACATATATGAAATAGATCAATTAATTTTCGAATATAATTTCCAGATTCAATTGCACGTGCTAATAAATCACGACGTGAAGCATCACGAACTTTATCGGGACTAAATAAATCACATATATCACGTAAATGAGATAGATCAACTGGTGGTAATGTTATTGTTGATGGTAAATAATTATCATTTGATTCACCAGCACATTCATCATCGGATTCATAGATTGTTGAACCATTTGATTCAGATGTTAAATTAGTATTATTTAAAAATGATGAAGAATCTTTACCTTGAACCTTGAAATACACAATAGAAAATAATTAAGTCATGAATAAACACGTGATATTAAATCATGATTCATATGATTAGATAGAATATGCGGTATGAATAGCAACTGTCACCAAGAAAATCCTATTCTTCATATTTATTTCTAAGAAAGTTTTTTTTTAAATCTTATCTTAGAAAATACAAATTGAAATATATATTCTTTCTTATTGAATTCTATCTAATCATCTTTAAAAATTTTTCTCCATATTTAAATTTCTACTCTCTTACATCGCATATATTTTCCCAAATGTCATCACAACCCGCTTTCTCTTGAAAGCTTAGTGCTAAATCATGTTTATCTCCTTCAGACCAAACGATTAAAGTTTCCTAAAGAACAAAACAAAACGAAAAGATAATAAAATTCAAATAAATTTCTTTAGTCATGTTTTTTTTTCAAACAACTTGTTGTTTTTGATATTTTGTATTTAATAGAATTTTTGAATCCAGTAATGTTGAACCATCTACTTCTGATTTAACAATAAGTGCATGATTTGTATTAGGTGCAATAGGTGTTGTACATGTTACAAAACCTGTCCCACGATCATCCCATTGACGTTCTTCATTTAATGTATAGAGTTTAACACGTGATCGATTATTAGATGGTAATGTTGTTGACGAAGGACTTATCATCGATTATGAGATTGTCCAAATTGATAATTATATATTGTCTACAAATTCAATCAGATTTTCTTTTAAATTTAATTAGAAATATAAAAAATAAAAGTTACTGGCATCTGTCACAAAATATTTAGAATGAGAGATAGAGAGAGATAGAAAAAGAACGAGAACGAACAAACAATAATAATAATAACAACTAGAGTACTATTATGAATTAACCAATCAAACTAAAATATTTAACCTTTTTTCACATTTTTATAGTAATCATTTTATTATTAATTTAAACTATAGATTTATTATATCATTATATAAGTATTTAAATAAAATACAATGTGTTTTAATTGTTATTATATAGGTGGCGCTCTTAACAACAATGACGTTTGACATGTACAAAGGTTACGAAGTAGATAATAAGGTCATTTTTTATTTTATTATCTGATTTCTAAATAGATCAAGACATTAAACTGTATATAATATTTTTATATATAATAACGTCATATAATGAATGATCAGAAAGTTGTTAGACACGATGTTTGTTTACTTTTGATCCGCTAGAAAGTATTTTCGACAAGTGAAAAACTATGAGTCAGAATGTTCTTTTCAAATATAGGTTTAAAAATTTTGTTCGAGAGTGATGTAATATGTTTTTGAAAAGCTTAAAAAATTTATTTTTATAGAACTTAATTGTTGACATTTACAGTAAACATGTATGGTCATTTTCACCTGCTTGAGTACATTTAAAAAACTATATAGGTCCCAATCGAAATTTGAATATGAGTTTAGACATTTTGTATCTATTTTTGTTCAAGAGTAGAGATGGACTTTTTTGAAAGATCTGAGCTATTATTTTTAATAGTGAGACAACAGATTTTTCATTTTTTTACACTATAAGTCATTTTTTTAACATTCTAAAATTTGTTGGAGTCAAACTTTTTTGTAGACATAAAATGGTGATCGATTTTTCAAACATGAGTAATTAAGGAAAAACGAAAATTGAGATGTCTTGTTGAACAACAAAAAAGAAGAAGCTTCAAATAGTACATTTTGTCGAATAGCTTCTATTGTAGAAGCCAATATATAGATAAACATTCCATGATTTAGTTTCGAATCACAGTGATATAAAATTAAAAATTTTTCGTCCAAACTATTTTTTTTTTGACTTTTCAAAGATTATTTCAGTATTCTTGAATAGAGGTTGACACAAAATTCATAAGACTATATGCAAAAAAAACATCCGAATTCATAATTTTGACTTGTCAAAAATACTTTCTAATGAGTCAAAGGTAAACAAACATTTTATCTAATAACTGTTCAATCTTCTGTAATCTCTAAATATGATACGAATGAATCAAGTAGAGCTCGTGCAAAACTTTAAAAACTAGAACAATACTAGAGAGTATATGTGCAAAATGTCTCGCAGAAGAACTATAATCTTCCAAAAACTTTCACTCATTTGCTGACTAATAAGGACTAATTGATCATAAACTTCATGTCAGGAGATGAAAATCACCGAAACGTACATTATTGAAAAAGCGAAACTATCACAATGAGTATCATGAATGTATTGAGCGTCGAGTTCCTTTCGACGATCATTTCTTTTATTTCGCTTCTTAGATATATACCAAATAGAGAAGATTATATAGTACAAGTATCATCTCAGAATATTGCTGATAGTAACATTGCCGAAATGAAAAGATTACTCGAATTTAGTATCCTTCATACCAACAAAGTGAATACTAACCAAATACATTTTATTTATTAGAGATATTACACTCTGCTGCACATCCTTACTTTTTCAGGAACTATAATCTACATCTTTCAGGAAGTATATTGTTTCAATATTTGTGATGTATTATTTTCTAAGTCTATAAAAGTTATTGAAATCTAATTGGAATTTCTCTTTGCTTTTGTTTTCTCTGAATGACAAATTAATCAATATGTGTAAAACAAAAATATTGGGTTGGCAAGAAAGTTTTGCGTCTTGTTCTTTTTTTTTTACTAAACAACAAAATTTATTTTTCAACAGAACAAAACAACCTCAATCAAGAATATATTCGCCGTTATTATCAATAACAGTGGCCCATCTTTTCGGCAGTTGGTAGATCCCGTTTTTATAAAAGTATGGCTTTTTTGAGTCAAAAAAAGCGGCGAGGTCAGAATTGAGAGTGTCGTAGTCTTCAAAGCGTTTCTCAGCTAGATGGTTTCGAAGAGAGCGGAATAGATGGCAATCCGATGGCGCAAGGACTGGGGAAAATGGTGGATGAGGGAGGACTTCCCAGCCCAACTTCTGAATTTTTTCTCGCGTTATCTTCGCAATGTGTGACCGAGCGTTGTCGTGAAGCAAAATCACTCCCTTTCTATTGATCAGCGTTGGACGTTTTTCAAGCAGTGCTTCCTGGACACGCTGTAATTGACGAGCGTAGACCTCGGCGATGATGGTAGCGTTGTCGAGAAGCTCGTAGTAAAGTACCCCCTTCAGGTTCTACCAGATACACAAGAGAACCTTCTTTGGATGAAGATCTGCTTTGACATTCGGCAACGGCTTCTGCCCCGGGTTCAACCACTGTTCCTTGCGGCCGATGTTAATGTAGAGGACCCACTTCTGATCTCTGGTGACAATTCGCTCAAGAAAAGAGCTTTTTTGGTGACGGGAGAGAAGCGAAACGCAAGCTGAAACTCGCTGGACCTTGTCATTGGCGGACAGTTCGTGTGGCACCCAACTTCCATACTTTTGGATCTTGCCAAGCGCATGAAGATGATTTTCGACTGTGGTGTGTGTGAACAGCCTAGCTGCTTCGCAAGTTCACGTGTGGTCTGCCGGGAGTTCGTCTCAAGCAGGCTTTCGAAGACGTCGTCATTGACGATCGAAGGGCGTCCCTCACGTGGTTGGTCCGTCAAGGTCCTGTCACTGGAACGAAATCTGGCATACCAGCGATCACAAGTGGATTTGGTCGTGGAGCCGTCGCCGTACACCTCACAGATTTCTTTTGCTGCTGCCGCTCCTGAGAGTCCTCGGTCGAATTCAACCAAATACAGTGTCGAATGTGAAGCTTTTGTGCATCCATATAATTCAAAGCAAATGGTGTCACGTCTTCCGGCCGAATCCGATGTGAAACAGAAATCACGAGTTGAGGAGTTTGTTTATTCACACATGGAAACTAACGATCTAACTGTATAACTGAGAAAAGAATGAACGAGTAACAGCGGACAGCCTATATATATAGTGTTGAAAATAGAACATTCCAGAACATTACGCAAGAACCCATCCACGAAAGAGGCATAGAAACCATAGAAAGTTCCAGAATGTACTCCAACACTGAACAAGTAGTAGTCACGTGACCTCATAGCTACGTGACCTCATGGTCATATGCCATTGCAAATTGTAATAGGAATAGTATGAAACTCAACCAAAAGAATAAAATAACTACTCACGAGACAATATTCATTCCATTGACACTTAAATCAGGTCGATAGCTTATCAAATAAAAAAGTTACAGCAATGTGTTAAGATAATAAAAAAAGACGCAAAAATTTCTTGCCAACCCAATAGAATAATTGTGTTTGATGACACGAAAATATTTGCATAAAAATAAGCATATAAATATTCCAAAAACAGATATTATTTATCTTTCTTTTATCCATCGTTATGTAAACAGATTTTTTTCTAATATTTCTGAGATTTATTCTTTAATAGAAAAAAAATCCAAATGACTCATAAACATTAGTTGATCTAAGTTACAAAAGATGTTCAAAAATTGAAACTCAAATCAACATAAGTCTAACAACAAAATATCGATCACCTCAAAAACAAGTCTAATCTTTTTATTAATTATATGTAAAACAGTTGCGAAACTTTTTCAGACTACATTTCTAATAGAATATTCCTTTTCGTATATCAATAAACCACGCACAGCGGGTAAAAGAAACTCATCTATAATAATTTTTTATGTTTTTTCACACATATAACGGTATCATTTCGTTTTATCGACAACTTTTCCTTTCTATGACAGACCACAATCCAACGATGAAGCATTGGGTTAACAAGTTCACTTTCAAATACTTAAGCACATAATGAATATCCATATTTTTTTGTTAGCATGTGATAGAACATCATAGAAGTGAATCACTAATAGTATTTTATAGGTGATGACTTAAACGAATAAGGGTGTCGGTATGATTCTTGATATGGTTGTGGGTGTCGTCATATGTCGTAAAAAATCAAACTCTATCGTGATTATACGATAAGAAGCGATTTTCCAACAGTCGGCAATAAAACCGATGTAATCATAGATTGCGAATGAAATATGATCATAGAAATTCGAAACGAAAAGAAAAATTTCATTTTGACAAGGATGTCATTACGATGATATCACGGAGAGTAAAGATAATTTCGGATATGTTTTGAAATTCAGCCATTTTTTAATTTTGATATTCTGTTTTAGATGATTTATTCTATCGTCATCCGTTTAGTTCTACTTATTTCGTCTGTTTTAGAAAATTAATTTATTAACACAAAAATGATTATGCGTGCAGTAACTTCAGAGGAAAAAAAACCTATTTCAAAAAGTCAATGTGAATATAGAAGTGTTCTTTTTCGACTATGTTCTCATTTAAGTATGTGAAATTGTATGACATAACGGTTTTTCTAAAACTTTTATTCAATGTTTTATTCATATAGAATAAAGTAAGCCGTTAATTTTTGAAGAAAAGTATTCACTATCATAAAGAGTAATAAGGAGAATTTCTCATTATAACAAGGGAAATTGGAGTTGTATGAACAAAATCACTACTATTATCGATACGATGAAGGATAATTATCGATCATAAGACCACAATTTATTCCAATTATAGTTTAAATATATTACGATTAATCATCAGTTTTTTAGCAATTTCGAGGATATGCAGCATGAATGTGGTTGTCAGTGAAGTGCAAGGCCAAGTTTCATTGGTCCTGATTCCAATCATAGTCTTGGTAAGGTTTCAACAATTTCTGTCCCGTGCTTCCGATCTCACATATATCTAGTTAGTGTGGATTAAGAGATAAACAAACAGCTACATTCCTTCTTGTCCAATCTTATTATTTAATAATAAACAAATATATTGTTATCAGTTGCATTTCTAGACTTAATGTTAATAAGAAAATAGTAATCTTTGATGTTCTCTATTACTTGCGCCTTAATTTGTCGATCTAATGTTTAATTATTAAAATACAGTCTATCAATGAGAAAAAAAGTTGTCGATAAAATGAAAAAAAAAAGTGTTTCTGTTGACCAACCAGGAAGTTTCTCTAACTGATCTTAATTAGTCGACGAAACGGGACTGAACCAACGTAATATTTCAAATAGAAACAACTTAATTACGTTTGACACTTTTTCTCTGATTGATCAAAAAAATAAACCAATAATATTTCTGTCGCTATTACCCATTTCTTCTCAGTTGTTTTTTTTTTCTTTTTTTTCAACGATAAAAAGCCGACCGACATATAATCATGGGAAATACTGATTCAAAAGTTGATTTTCGTGTAGCTGTTGTTCAATTAACATCTCGTAGTCAAGTAAAAAAAAGTCAAAAAAAAATATTTCAAATAAAAATATTTATTATTTATTCTTTTATAGCAAATTGAACCAAACGATGAATCATTTTGGGATCAATTTTGGTCGGATAAAATTTCAAGTGTACAAGATATATTTGCATTAGTACCAGCTGCTGAAATACGTGCATTGCGTGAAGAATTACCATCAAATTTAGCTACTCTATGTAATAAACTTGTTGATCGTTTACAATTAGCTGCAGAACAATCATGTCAAACCCAACGAGATCAAACAGCTGGTTAGATAAAAAAATTATTTGATAAAGAATTCAAAAAAAAAAAAGTTAAAATAAATTTTTTTTTCCTATTTATAGCTATTAATTGTGTTCGATTATTAACTCGTTTATTACCATATATATTTGAAGAACCTGAATGGCGAGGCTTTTTTTGGTCTGACATTCCGACAGGTCAACAACAAACAACATCAAATGGAGTTCGTAGAAAAAAAAAACGTGTTTTTGTTTTTAAATGAAAAATATGTTTCTTGTCTTTTTTTTCTTGTTCATAGGAATATGTTAGTAAACCACCATTAGCTGAACGACTTCTTCAAACATTAGCCGTAAGAAGAATTTGTTTTTAATTAGTTCTGTTTGAATCCATTTTATTTTTATTCTTCAAGGATCTTTTATTTTGTCCGGATTTTACAGTTGCATCAAAGAAAAAAAAAGGACCAGTATGAAAGTTTACATTGAATGTTAAAAAACAAAACTAAACACATATATTTTAGGAAAATCCAGAAGATATTCATACTATCGATAGTTGTGAATATATATGGGAAGCTGGTGTTGGATTTTCTCAATCACCTGTTCATGTACCAAGCAATGATAGAAATCGAACAGAACTTCTAAAACTTTTACTAACATGTTTTTCAGAAACAATCTATATGACACCAACAGGTAATTAATTATTTCAATTTTACAGTTCAATAAAATATGTTATTTATTATGATGCATTATTCATATGCTTTAACTGAAAATCTAAATTTGAAATTACGAAAGAAAACAATAGCTGTTCTACATATAAATCATTTCAAGCGAAAAGATCTTTCACTAGACTTTTATGCTTTACAAGGGTTATATTTCTCAATAAGATCCTTTAGAATCGATGTGTATGAAAATGTCAGCACTTTCAGTTGGCATTTAATTAAAAAGTTATTAGCGAATATTTCTGTAACAATATAATGAAAAGATTGAAAAGTTCAGAATACATTGTATGGCATGAACTCTATCTATGGTGAAGTTTTCAGCAACATCGAACTTCAACAAAACTTTTCATTCGGTTAAAAGGGCATTCTTTCACGTTGCTAACGGATGAATTTGTCTTTTTACGATGATTATTCATCAAAAAGGAACATCTAGGTTTTCGAATATCAAAAGTCACGTTTTCTTCGTTTTTTTTTCGAAGTATTCAATGCATGTTTATCTTTCAATTTATCTGAAGGGAGAAATCATCCGAAAAATGAGTTCTCAATTTTTATGCGTTTTATTGCACGTTGAAATAAATAACGAGTAGTGTAAAAGTTTCTAGACGAATTAAATATTTGGACTTAGGAACAAAATTTTATGCTTTTTTATATATGAACTTAAAGAAATTATCTATCTTCTTTTGCACGAAAGAAATGAGAGAATCTTGAAAACACTTGGAAAATTTTTTTATACATGTTCACATTTTCACTATTGTAGTTTGAAACTAAATGTTGAAGTTTTTGTTTATATAAAAGTTTGTAAGGTAAAACGTAGTATTCGAGTTTCGTTTGTTTTTCCGATAAGAGCACCAAAACTCTTGTTTTCCTATCACCGTTTTTTTGGAAAACATCGGTTTTTTTTATGGAAGGACATTATATGTAAATGTAAAGCTTTACTTGCATAAATGTGAAAGTTTAGTTTGATAGCACATCTTTTCGTCACATATGTGTCTAAGAAATTAAAGAACTGAATAGCTATTAGTATTTTGGAAAAAAAGATAATGTGGTAGGCAAAAATCTGTTTATTTATGATCCTAATCAATTTTTCATGACTTTGAAAGATTCTTTCACTACTTTCAAATAAAAATGTTCCAGTCCTTTGTCAGCAAGACAATTTTTTCACTTGTCTAGAAACTTTTATACTGCCCTTTAGTAGAATTTTGTGATAAAATCTTTCAAGAATAAGTCATAAAAGATGTTGAATGATAATGCAATAATAATCATTTCAAGGACTTCTTTTTTTTTTGTTGGTTTATTCTTATTATCGATATACATAAGCTTACGAGGGTACCTCTTCAGCTGTCTGCTTGTAATTTCAATGGTTTTTTGCCTATAGATATTACATAGTGTTATAATAAGAACCTTACAAGGATTTACGTTTCTATTGAGATACGACTAAGCTATCAAATTTTTTTCTAGAGATACTAAGTTTTCGAAAAATTCGAATTTGAATCTGAATCTTTGTACTTATAGAGAACTTAATTAGGCTAAGTTTCATAACAATATTTAGAAGTTAGGGTGTGCGTGTGTTCTCAAAATCTCAATAGGAAAGTAAATTCTTTCAAGTTTCTATGTAGTATCTATTGGTAAAAAAATCATTGAAATTTGAAGGAGACAACTGGAGAGGTTCTTTTGTGAGAAGTATGTTATAACGAGTCTTTGCACTCGTTAAGCATCATTACCCTTGACGAATTATTTTTTGTCAAGTAACAATTGTCATTTTTTTTTATTAGTTTTTTAAATGTACATTCATACGATAATTTCTAAATTACACTTTTTTTTTAAATAACTTTTTAGTCGAACTACATTCTCATCCAAATAAATGGTTAACTTATTTTACATCTGGTCATAATCGGTAAATAAAAATAATCGAAAAATATTCTTTCATTTTGTTTTACTTTTTTTGTTTTTTTTTAGACAAACATTACCTCTATTTACTTCATTAATAAATATAGTATTTTCCTATGATCCAGTTGGTTATTTACCGTATAATTATCTACTATTTACTGACACACGTGAACCTCTAGTCGAAGTAGCTGCTCAATTATTATGTATAACGTTAGATAATAGTTCATTTTCTTCGAATGATCAAGCCTCATCACCAACAAGTAAAACAGTTTCATCATTACCAGGAGATGACTGTCCAAATTTATTTATTAATTATTTATCACGTATTCATCGTGATGATGTAAGATTTTATAATTAATACAAAATAAACTAATAAAATGAATTTGATCTTTATTTGTTTTTTTTAAGGATTTTAATATTTTATTAAAAGGTTTTTGTCGTTTATTAAATAATCCTCTTATCCAAACATATTTACCTGGTTCATGTAAAAAAATTGGTTTTTATCAAGAATTACTTATTTTATTTTGGAAATTTTGTGATCGAAATAAGGTTCAAAGAAATATGTTTAACTTGTTTATAATCTTTTATGTTTTTTTTTCATTAATTAGAAATTTTTATATTATGTTTTAAAATCTAGTGAAGTACTTGATTTACTTGTACCTATACTTTATTTTCTTAATGATGCACGGTCGGATACATGTAAATATATATATATTTCTACAAATAAACAATTATTTGAAAGAATCTTTATTTTTCTAGCAAAAATTGGTTTAATGCATATTGGTGTATTTATTTTACTTTTATTAAGTGGGGAAAGAAATTTTGGTGTCCGCTTAAATAAACCTTATGTAACACGAGTACCAATGGATATACCTGTATTTACAGGCACTCATGCAGATTTATTAATAATTGTAAAAAAAAAAAGCAAAAGAATTTTTATTTTATTTGAAAAATAATAAAAAAAATATTTCTTTTAGGTCTTTCATAAAATAATTGTTTCAGCACATCAACGTTTACAACCATTATATGATTGTTTATTAACAATAATTGTGAATATTTCACCTTATCTTAAAACTTTATCAATGGTTTCAAGCAATAAATTACTTCATTTGCTTGAGGTATTTATTTTAATGTTTTTTTTTATGTTAAAAATAGTGTCCTGGAAGAGTACAACCATTCTCAATTGAATCCGATATCACACGGGTATGAGATGTGGATTCGGATGTAGGTCGACAAAAACGTGGATCTGCAACTCCCTATATTGATTACATAGAATATATTCTTACTTGATCTTGTTGACATAAATACGGCTACAACTATTCCATACAACTTAAGATTTTGCTGTTACTGCACATTTTAAGAATTTTGCTTATCAATTAACTGTTCAATTTCCTTTTTTTTGTTAATATAATGCTCTGTTCCACTAAGCAGAAAACTTCTAATTTATTAGTTATCAAGTGATGGGAAAATGAACAACAAGAAGTAGCTGCGTGAACTGTTTTCTCTGATATGTGATCAAGTAAAATGCTAAAACCTTGATCCTTTACCTGCTCATTTACACAGAGAATACGAAATATTGGTGGAAAAAAACTTGGCTCCGGTTTGCACATAAACGTGAACCCACAGCTATCTATCGAACGAGCCCAAATCGAAGCTAACCGACACCCGACAGATACTTTCACAGTCATAGTACGCATTTCAAACAGTGATCTTATATGAAAAAAATTCTAATTTGTTGTTCCAACAAACAGCAACAAAAAAAAAGAAATTACCTGAAATTCCACAAAAAAAAACAAATGGTTCAGAATTTACTTGACGTTTTTCTGCTTCTAAAATCTGATCGGTTTCGCTAAGTATACGATAGGAATAGGTGGTTAAAGGTCGAAAGACAAAATGTCGAAAGACAAAATGCCGAAAAGCAGGACGCAGAAAAGCACATTGCAGAATTAAAAAATGTCGAAAATCACTTTGTCGAATGAAAGAATGTCGAAAAAAATATAAAAAAATGCCGTTGAAAAGATATCCTATCGGCTGACGATGAAAAAACAATTATCTCTTAATTAGATTATTTCTTTTTCTATGAATTTGACTGTTACGTTAAGAGGCTCTAACAATAATGATTAGGGTGTGGGTGTGGGTCTTCTTTTCGATGACTTCCACACCAACACCCACACTCACCTGCACCCACACCTCACACCCATATCCACAACCATGCCCCACATCCTACATTCACAGCCAGACCTACACCAACACCCACATTCACCTACACCCATACCCACACCGTCATTGTTTCGACATCTTGATTTTCGACATTTTCAGTTTCGACATTTTGTTTTTCTACATCGACAACTTTCGACATTATTTATTTTTGCAATGTGCTCTTCTGCGTCCTGCTTTTTGACATTTTTCTTTCGATCTTTTACCACTTTACCTACGATATCTTCTTGCTAAAATGGAACACAGTGTGGGTACCAAACTTCATACTTGTGAATATACATATGTATGCTTTTCCATCACAATAATACATTTTCACTTGTATTCAGTTACTTTATCACCATTAATATATGAATCTTAATTGAAAAACGAATTCTTTCAGTGTAAAATAATGTCGCTTTTTATCTCTGAGACTTATTCTCAAGTACACTATATATCTCAATCATTATCAAACTGATGTTTCACTCATATGAATAGCAATTTGGTAGTAAAAATATTTTGTAAAGTCGCGTCCATGCTCTACAATAGGCACCCGATCATTTTGAAAGACACTAATTAAAATTCGAACTATAATAAAAAGAAAAAATTTTTAGTCATATTTCTGTTAATAATAAAATTTTTAATAGAAAGAAAGAATAGATAAGAAGTTCGATCATATATAGTGTTATATGTGACATGTGGCTTCCATTTATTTAGGCATTCAGTTCACCATGGTTTTTATTGGCTGCACCGGATAACCATCATCTAGTTTTCTTTCTTCTCGAAGCTTTTAATAATCTTATTCAATATCAATTCGATGGTAATACATTTTCTTTTGGTATTTTTAATTAATATTCTATTAAACTATTCTAGGCAATGCAAATCTTGTTTATACAATAATACGTAAAAGACAAGTATTTTTTTCTTTAAGTAATTTAGCTACCGATACTCAAACAATAGCAAAATTAAGTACAAAAAATTCTAATGTACCATCAACATCATCAAAAAAAAATATTGATCAATCTGCAAATAAACAAACTGTTTTTCAAACAAATTCAAAATCAACGACGGATGGTGAACCACAACTTAATAAAGAAATTTCACCACAATCAAATATGAGTTCAACTGGAGTTATATCCAGTGCTATGACGACAACACTTGCTGAAACACCATGTAAATAAAAATTTTATTTAATACGATAAATTAATCAATCAAATCTCTATCTCGGAGGTGTTTTTTTCAAAATGAAAATTACAAATGATATATGAATCGTTTATTTTTGTCATGTTTGAATCGTATTTCATTAATCAGATATCAGTTTTTTATCATAGATAAGAAATCCTTAATGTTTTTCAAATTAAAAACGAGAAATATCTCAATATCACTCTAATATCGACTAGAACATTCTATATTATATAATGTTTTTATGTCTCATAGCTATTCACAAAATGACTGAACGTACATTAGCCGCTTCACCTAATATGGACAGTAATCAACATCAACGTTCTGGTACCAATAATGAAACATCTCCATCATCGAGTCAAGTCTATATCTTCTAGATATAACAATTAAATTTTCATTAATCATTCGTTTATTTAGCGTGCTTCGCCTTCACCACCAACTACGGTATCTTCAAATCATTTTCAACAAACAGATAATAGTCTTTGGTCACCAACATCTGAATGGGTACAATCATGGAAAGGCAAATTACCATTACAAACAATAATGCGTCTTCTTCAAGTTCTTGTACCACAAGTTGAAAAAATTTGTATGGATCGTGGTTTAACTGATGAAAGTGAAATAATTAAATTTTTACAACATGGAACACTTGTTGGTTTATTACCAGTGCCTCATCCAATATTAATTCGAAAATATCAACCAAATTCTGGTACAGTTATGTGGTTTCGTACATATATGTGGGGTGTTATTTATCTCAGGTAAAAAAATAAAATGAAGATATCAATATATTAGAATTACGTTTTTTTTTTTGTTTATCTTTTAGGAATGTTGATCCACCTATTTGGTATGATACGGACGTTAAATTATTTGAAATTCAACGTGTTTAAGAAAACAAATCAATGGAAAAAAAAATTTTATTCTATTATTGTTGTCATTGTCTGTTTTGTTTTTTTTTCTCTGTTTCGCATAATCATTTATTTTATTCTTTAGTTCTCGCATATTTATTTAAATTTCTGATAAGCACACATAGAGAGAGAATTTATTTATTATTTGGATAATGGATAAAAAGAAAAAAAAAGAAAGAGTAGTGAATATGATGTATTTTACGTGGTTTTTTTTTCGTTCATGTTTAAGAAAGTTAGTTATGCATTCGTTATTTGTTGTTGTTTTTTTTTGTTGTCATTTTTTTGGTGGATGCTTAAAAACAGAATAAATATCTACATATATGCTATTGATCCCCAATTAGACTAATTTCTTTTCGATACTCTAAGCATCATAATTCTAATACGCAAAAAAAGTCAGCTCTTTTTATGCGTATGATTACCCTCAAAAAATACAATTTCTGAAAAAGAAAGAGTGATCACTTGTCGTTCTTGACATTAGTAAGTTTTCATTTATTATTAAAAATAATTTCAGTCAGTTCTTTTGTTTTCGTGCTCATTACTTTTTCTTTGTTCGAATATATGCATTATAAAACAAATTGTGTCCCGTCGAACGATGTCATATTTTTTGTTATTATTCATCGTAAAGATAGGAAGAAGTGATCATGTTCGACAGGCTAATTATCGCGCACAATCAACTGTCTGTCTGTCTATCTGTCTATCAACAAAACTTAGGTGAGAAGGAAAAAAAACTCAAAAGAAAAGACATATTGATCATACTTCACTATCGACAACAACGTACTAAATCAATATTCTTTTTGTCAATGATCGATCGTTCAATTTTTTTACAATAAATGTACGTAGATTAAAGATTAGGTACTTCGAAGAAAACATCTTGTTTTATATCACAAAAATAGTATGTGTTTATAAGCTTTTGTTTAATCTTCTATAATTTAGTTCAATCTAATTTTTCATATTTTCTCTTGCGACAGTGTTTTTCTTTTTGTTCCATTGAGAAATCAATTGATATGATACATAGGTCAACATTTATTTATTATTTTGTTACTCATTGTTATACTCTCTTGGTATGTTGAATGAGCATTGTTGTGTAATCTTCTAAACAACAAAAAAAAAGAAAACCGAATGAAGTTCAACTATGTAGGTATGCTCACGAGGATTGTCAGTCATCATCATTCATCAACACTTTAATACCGACAAAGACAAAAGAGAACAATTGCTTCTATTGAACTAACTAGATCAAGTATAAAACATTCAAGTATGATTCCTTTTTTTTCGTACAATATTTTATGATTAATAGTAAGAAATTACTAATGCAAACGTTCGTTTTTCTTTTTACATGAGCCACTTGATACATGTATACAACGTTATTCATGCATATGCATATTGTATGGTAGGTATAAGTGCTTGAATTTTGAGATTGAATTTCCATTTGAACAACGTTCAGTCTTACGTGAATATAATATCGTATGTTTATTATGTCCTGCAAACTTAAAAAAATCGGATCAAATATAAATAGAAAAAAGATGAATACAAAATTTCTTCCTCAAATTTTCGAAAGGTTACGAATGTTCATGTAAATTATAGTAGTTGAAATAATAACAATCTTCACATGATATGTATTAAATGAAAATCAATCACTATTTTTTTTCTTCTTTTTTCTTGATTAAAACCTTGCCAATTTTTAATTTCATTTCAATCGAAGTGTTCGATGACCTTCTTTTTCTCTCCATCCCTCTCTCTCTCTCGTTCTATTGTCAATTTGATCTTTTCAACTTGTATACCATTCATTTAATATCTATCTATACACGTAAAATGTGTTTGTATTGAACACAAATACATATGCATACATAGTCGGGTAAATATCATGGAGAAAAAAAAAGGAATGTTGTTATGTTTTGTACAGGGAACAAGAGAATGGAGAGGATTGTATGTGTTTGCGCCTACACTCGTGCACTAGTCTAATGACCGAACGAAACGAACGAGAAAGTTAATACGATTTTTTTTTTCTTCTTGTCTATCTGTCTGTACGTGCTTACTCTCGTCCAAACAACATCAGCAGTTTAACTTGAATTTCCCTCTTCGATGAAGAAAAAAAGAGAAGAAAATTGATCATTCATCCACATCGATAACGTATGTACAATGTCCTTCAGTTTCGATAGACATTTTGTCAATTTTCTTTCTTTTTTAATCAACAGAAAGAAAAAAAAGAATTGACCTTGTCCTGAATACAACTCTGTATAATTGAATGTCTTTTTATTTTTTCTCATTTCTAGTATTTCTTTTTATTTTTTTGGTAAATGACTTGGTGTACAAAAATTTATGATATATTTAATGGATGGAATGATGATGATGAACATGAATTACCATCCACACCAGCTGCCAAATCAATTAATGGTCTACCAGAATCATCAATAACATCAAAAGTTGCTCGTCTTAGTTCAATAAATGATAGTTCATATCTTGAAAGATCTCAATCAATATTAAGTATAAACAATCCATCGAATTATAATAAACAAAAGTATGTTAAATGTTCATTAACAAAAACAAAACTTTTTTTTTTTTCAAAGTTATGATCGATATTTTTCATCATATGGAGGTGATGATGATAATCATCATCATCATCGTCAAGAACAAAGATCTTATGGTATTGCGACAATGTAAATTAATTGATTTTTTTTTCTTCGCTGCTACATTCATTAGAATTCGTTTTCTTATAAATTTATTTTTAGTTCCAACATGTCACTCAATATGCCATCCTATTCAAAGTATGTTTAAATTCTTCACATCTGTTCACAATCAATCCTTATCTTAATTGAAGGAGAATGTGAGATTGATTTAGGATTTTTTTTTATCATATATCGATTATGTCAATATTTTCAAAGATTTACATATCATCCTTCGCATCAACTGGCATCTTTTTCTCTCCGTCTTTTTTTTCCCCCTTTCTCTTAAACATATAATCGTATCATACTCTTGATGTTTCTTTTTTTTTTTCTAATGCCTGTTTATCTATAGGTATATAGGAAGCCAAAACGACCATAGTCAAGAACAACAACTGGCAAGAAGTTATTCATTTGAATTACAAAGAAATAATTTTTTATTATCATCACCTGATATTGGTTATCCAACATCACAACAAATGAATCGACAACGAAATAATTTTGATAAATCATTACGATCTTCGTCGATAAATGCTCTTGTGAATACTTGTATGATTGATAGTCAAGTTTCGCTATCAAATAGAAAGGTAAGATTGATATATGCTATGATTCTTTCATTAAAGGTTTTCGATTTTAAATTGATTAAATATCAATGTGACCATCTTGTTTCATAGTTACGGGTAATTTTCTTCTTTTCTTTTTGAAAGTCATGACCGTGACTAAAGTCTTTTGATGGTTATCTATTCAATGTATTTCCGGTTTTTTTTTTCTTTTTGATTATTTATAAGTAGTTGTCTCAGACGTGCGCATCAGTAAATGAGAAAATAGAAAAAAAAACATCAAAAGTTGTGCTCTTTTTTCATTGATTAAGTTACGCTTTCAGTGCAAAAAGAAAAAGAAGTTCTGTTTTTATTTATATATATCTTAAATCAATATGCTGCATTTTGTTTCGAATATATCTGAAAAAGTATGTTGTAAAATAATGATTTTGTAACTATTAGATCACTTAAATATGTAAGAGTACCATATGTTGATCGATGGAAAGGTTAAGTATTTATTGTACGACATTTGCTATAGGTTGATGTTAACAATCAACATATATTAAAATAAATAAGTTGATAGTCATTGATCAAATTTCTAATTTACATTCATTCGAAATGAAAATATTTACTTTTTATATAAATATATATGCATTTTTCTTGTCATTTAATCATATAGATACTTTTCATTAGTAACATGCAGACGATTAAGCAAACCTTTTTTTTTGTCATGGTTGAATTGAGCTCGTCGCATTACCTCTGAAAAAAGTGTAATTTTTATCATATATATATCTAGTGGAAATTACGGTCAAAAGAAAATGAAATAAGTCAATAAAAATTGAGATATACTAAAAGTATCAAATCTCAACAGTTATCAGAATTGCCTGTTTTGATTTTCTTCGTTTGTGAAGTTAGGAAAAAAAAATTATGCTTGTTCTTTGAAGAATATTGCTTGTTTAAGGATGTCATTAGGATTGAAGTAGGCGAGCGCTTTTTTGAGAATTGCTGAGCAAAAAAAAAAACAAATACAACGCTAGAACATAACTGAAAGACAACGGAAATTCTCAAGATTGGAAGGAGCGGTTCCCCCTTACTAAGGACATCTCTATATTTGCTTGCTCAGAATATGGACTGTTTCGATATGATAGAAAAAAAGAATTTCGTAAATACGGGTGTTCGAAGACTTTGATCATCAAAATATTAACATCGAATGAAGCAAATCTCATATGTGAAATGAACAGAAAAATTTCCATCAAATGATATATTCAATATTTAAAACTAATTTTCGTCAAATTTCGACTTTAGGAGAAACACACTTATAGATATTCGAAAACAACAGTACGAAATAAAATCAAAAAAAAAAAAAATTTCGATAGATATGAAGACTTTATTCTTTTGGAGTATTTCAATTATATGTTAAATCTCGAACATTATTTTCAATTTATAATACAAAGAATGTTTTGTAGATCCAGTTGGATCTGAAAAAAAAGCGTTCGAGAGTTAAAATTTAATCTAGATTATATTCTAATAACAAAGATGAATTTCTCTAATTCATCTGTGTATTAACTAAAATATGATGTATTCTTTTTTTGTCTTATAGGAAGCAATGGATCCAAGATTATCAACACGTTCTTCATATTCCGTTGGTGAATACGAAACAAATGATTCGCCATGTAGAAATAATGAGAAAGTTGCACAAGCAATTCAATATCATATTAAACAGGTACATTTGTTTAATTTTTCTAGTTACTTGTATTCATTTGTCACCTTAGTTTTATTTGAGAGAAAAGAAGAAAACAACACTTATACCCTGAAAATCTCCAGAGATTTTAATCAATATATATATATATATTGTTTTTCTTTCTTTCTATATATTCATTAGATGTTGACATCATCACCCAGTAGTATATTTTCTATGGTCTATCGTTTTCCATCTAATGAAATGTTAAATTACAAAGATTCTTATCGTATTGAAGGTGGATATGATGAACCATCACAATGGATAATTCAAACAAAAATAGCTCCAGTTGAATGTCGAATTATATCCGACAATGTTGCTTCAATTTATTCAAATCATTTTTATGATCAAGTAAAAACAAAAAAAATTTGTTTTCTTGTTACATAATTATTTATTATTATTTAGTATCATTATAATTTATTTGCAATTGATGATAATTCTAATCCAATTATTATGTCAATTAAACCACATAATAATCGTTTAACAATAATTGTTCGTACAAAAGAAAGTTCAAAATGTTTAGATATGATTGAAAATGAATCATATTCAACTGATTATGTTTATTTAGCAAGACAACTTTATCCAGATTTGCAAGTTGATCATTTTGAAAATTGTACAAATCTAAAAGTAATTAGAAAAGAAAAACACTTTTTTTACAATAGGTTTAAATAACAGGATGGGTCATAATGAATTGGCCTGAACATAAATACACTTAATTTGTATAAAATAGTCATTTTATGTGCTGAAAGATAGTGAATCTCGAGCTTGACCAATTTGAGCGTTTCACTTGCAAAAAGAACATTTTATCTTTGCTACGGCAATCTAAATATTTATATACTCAGTATTTGGCTACTACGATGCATTGTTCTTCGTACTTTACAAACGTATAGAGGATTTTGAAAGCAAAGAATTTTGTCTTGTGTTTGGTTGATCCACTTTTAAATATTGAAGCTTTAATGAAAAGTTCAATATATTCTTTGATGTGACTTTTTAATTACTGAAGTTGTTCTTTTGAGTTAAAGTTCAGCTGCAGAGTTCTTATTTGGACACTGAATAAAATGCTGGATTTCGTTCTGCACCAGACTACCTTCAGAAAAAAATCGATTTCTTTTCTTTTTTATTTTATTTATTATGTCCTGAATTTCGACATGAAACTGTCATTTAAAGTATTTCCTTTGTATTTTGGTTCTCCTATAGGGATATACAGTGTGCCTTAGTATGTTGATAATTTTCGAAATTAAGAAAAATAGGTTCCTTGTAATGGTGAATATTTTATATGAATAGTAGACGATTGAAGAATTACATTTACAATGCGGCCCACCTTTTATTGATGTTTGCGTGTACATAATTTGCTGTCAGTTGATTATATAAAACAATAAATTCCAATTAGCGTGTTTTATGTGAGTATTTACTTTCCATTAATGAATAGAAAGATGAGGTGGTGTGGGTGTAAAAAAGATCTAGACTTGTCCCCATAATCTCTCGCCCTCCAAGTAATCAACAGAAAGTACATCATGTTAACCATACGTTTAATTTCTTATTTTTATTTTGGTTTTTCAGGCACAACAATTTATAAAAACATATGATGAAAAATTAGAAACACATAAATTTAAATTTGGTGTCATTTATCAAAGACGTGGACAAGTAAATTTTTATTGTTTAATAAAAACAGAAAAAAAAACAAAAAAGAATTATGAAAATATTTTCTTTTAGACAACAGAAGAAGAATTTTTTAATAATGAACGTCATGGACGATCATTAGATGAATTTTTGGATATAATTGCAACAAGAGTTTCATTAAAAAATTTTAAAGGGTATAATAAATTCTATTTAATTAATAATAAATTTTTCTCTCTTTCTTTATATGATTTAGTTATCGAGCTGGTCTTGATGTAAGTGAACAAACAGATTGTCCAATATCTTATTATGAATTATATGATCATAAAGAAATTATGTTTCATGTTAGTACATTATTACCATTTACACATACAGATACATCACAAATTCAACGTAAACGTCATATTGGAAATGATATTGTTGCAATTGTTTTTCAAGAAGAAAATACACCATTCCATCCAAGTATGATTAAATCAAATTTTTTACATGCTTTTCTTGTTGTACAACCTGTTCAAGTACTTTCAAGAACATGTTATAAAGTAAGATAATCAACTTTTCTTTTTAATAACTAAAGCAAACAAATCATCGAAAGTTCTATTTCTCGAATGTGAATTTGAGCTATATAAAATGTCCTATATGATTAAAGTCTGTAGTGAGCATCTAATGAGTTTCATTGAATTGATGCGTGATTTTGTTTGTGAAACATTGAAGTAATCGTCTGAGATGTGTCTCAACCTATAAATTTAAAAGCCTTCTATCTAAAGCATCGAAACGGAACACTTTCCATGAAATGATAAGCACTCATTTCCAAGAAAATAAAATAAAATAATTATGAGAAAAATTTAATTCAATACTTTGTATTAGAAAATATTTTATTATGATAGAGCAAAATAAGATGTCATCAAACTGCATTCAAGTGACAAGAGGTCTCAAAGCGCTAAAAGTGGCAAAAACGTTGAAAATTTCCATAAAAATAACAAAAATCCTTCTTAGGTCTTTTATTTATAGCATGCAGCTTGATACAAAAAAGGTCATGAAGAGATCCGAGACATTTAATTGTGCTCTAACGAATCAAATCTTTTCCAAAAAACTTTGAATGAATGCTAGAAATCTTATTTTATGAATCTTGGTTTTTCGAAAGCTCTTCATCCGCGCAACTTTTGTTGGCATCTTTGCACCTACGAATCCTAATAGAGAATTTTCACTAGCTATTATCATCGAGAAGAAAATCTAGAAGAACAACTGTTCGAAACTTTTGTTCGCCACTACAGTTGTTTTTAATTTTTTTTTTCAAGTTACAAAATACATTTAAAATAAAACGTTAAGTAGTGCACACTTATTCAAGTGAAAAATATCGATGAAATTAATATAAAGGCATGGTGTGAATGAGAGTATAAATGTAGGCCATGACCTTGTCTTTACCTGCACACACCTTATTCTGACACGTTTAACGGTAACCATGCTCACATATTATATACTTTTTCATAATATGATGAATTTACTAGTCGAAGGCTAATCGAACACTTGTATTCCTTCAATTGGATGTTTGAAAAATGAATTTTCCATATACATCATCAGCATTCAATCTGAATCTTTGTAGCAATATTATTTAATTTCTATAATGATATGCAGAAATTAGAACTTCTTGTATGCTTCGTAACCTTAAATAAAATTTAATAAATCAATTCATAAAAGTATTTGATATCTGTAGCTTCAAATGTGTTTAAAAGTCTTGATAAAATACCCGTACTGTTAATATTTCACTTCAGCAGAAAATTGATTCAAACGTTAGATATACCGTTGATAATACATGCATTTGCTCTTCCAGATAATTAAAACTACAAGTCGCTATAACTATTTGCATTCTGAAAACGGAGTACATGGTATTTCTTAAACGATAGTAATCTAGAAGTAATTAGATACATGAAAAACATATTGTACGATTGAACGACAAGAGATTTTGATAAAATAATATAATTTTTAATTTTATCAAAGGTTTATAGTAACTAAACATTTTTTTATAGATGGTACTCGTCACACGTGATGATATTGAAGTGTTTCCTCCAATACTTCAACGAAATGTTGTCTATGTTCGTAGTGCTGAACAATTAAAACCATTTATATTATCAAAATTAATTAATGCTGAATATGCTGCATATCGTTGTCGAACATTTTCATTATTACAAGAACGTACACGTTGTTCATATTTAAAAACTTTATGTGAAAATTTAACTGAAAAATCTTATGATTTATTATGTGATGAACAAAAACGTGCTAGTCATCGTCGTTTATCTTTATTATCAAATTCAACTAAAAAACGCTATTTTTCAAATATGAAAAAAATGTTTACACGAAGTAATAGTATACCCGATGGTCCTCAACAATCTAGTAAATCTGAACAACAATCAATGAGTGATAAAGTATTTAATTAAGAAAAAAAACAAACGAATTATATTGCAAAAAAAAATAAAAATATTTTTCTTTCTTTTCAAGGAACGACGAAAAAATGGAAAGAAATTATTACGATTAGGAAAATCAGATACTAATGATAATCATCAACGTTCATCGATAACTATGTCATTACCTGAGTATAATAAATAAATTTATTTTTATAACTTGAATAAAAATAATTTGAATTATTTCTAATTTTTCGTTTTAGTCAAGAATTAACACATGACAATGATGTGATTAATCGGTAAGAAAATTTTTCTTGAATCATAATTCTAATCAATATTTCCTTTTTTTCAATATCTAGACATATAACTGTTCGAAGTGATGAAAGTTTAGATAGTAGTGGTGATATACCAATATCAGAACAACGTTCAACAATGCATCATTATCCTCCACGTTCAATACATACATATTTTGGAGATGAATCTGATGAAGGATTGGTAAAAATATTTATCAAAATGATAAGAAAAAAAAAATATATATATGCATTTAATTTATAGGATAGTATGTCATCAGCTGATACAGCTTTTTCTCATAATCATAATCGTGTGCCATATGACAGTGATGATCAAGATGGTAATTCTTTGAAAACAATTATTTATTATTGTGAAACACAATCTAGAAACAGTTGTGGAGTATATAGAGAAGAAAGTTATGACCAGCCTTTCCGATCCTTCTCGATATCATGACACACACTCCCAAGAACACATCACAAACCATAATAAACATGATCGGTAGATTGTAACAGACATGTTACGGGACGACTTGTCATGAGCATGACAGTCATCATTAATAAACTTTATTCTCCGTCACAGACCGTAACAGACAAACATGGAAACATTACAGATCTTGACAGACATTGTAGTAACACTTTTTCTACCCATAGTATGCATACAGTCAGATATTTGGCTAGAAGTCAAAATCGTGCTTTTTTATGATTCAAATATAGAGAATTTCATTTTGAAATATGGTCTATCTAATGGTATAAATAACTTAGTTACAACTCTCCAAGAAATAGAAAAAACTGATTGTCCAAAAATTAGCTTCAAAATTGAGATGTCACCAGGAAAAATCATATTTGACAAAACTAAATTATTCGACAGACTAATGAAGTACATCTTCTGAATCTCCAAGTTGAATTCTACAAAGCAGTAAGCAATATTTTTTAACTTGAACGTGTAAATTCTGCAAAAAGAAATAATACTTTTTTCTCTGCTGTCATTCAAATGGCTAGTGTCATAACATGAGCAACCCATTCACATTCAATCTTTGAAAGAATTCCAAATTTTGTCAGAATGTTCTCGTAGCTACAGTCTCTTGTCAATGTTAACACAAATATTTCTGGACTGCGCTAGGGATTTCCTAAAAGCTTCGGTTTTTGAGTTTGTCTAGCTTTAGGAAAATGGCCAATCGACAAAAATAGTATATTCGGAACCGACGCATTAAATACAGCATTTTTCGTCGGAAAACTTTTTTCTCCCAAAAATGCTATTTTGGGTCGTATTCAATATTTTCTAAGCAAGAAAGGCACATGTCCACCTGCCATGCGAAAAATGTACACTGTGCTCTCCTCTAGGAGGAAAAAGCAGAGACCCGAGTCATGATGTTCTTTCCTCAAGTGACAGACGGCAGCGGACATTGTTGATAGTTGATCACGGATTGAATATCAATACTGTCTTGTTTTCTTGCATCAACTATTTCCTCATTGCATTTTAGGAGGATTTAGAAAATGGATAGTGTGAAGGAATGTGTCCGAAAATAAATTGAATAAACAATTTTCCCGTGATTAGTAACAGCAGCTGCACTGTGTTTCACATTTTAATCTTACAAGAATTACACTAACAAGTTTTTTGTTTTATTTTAGCTTATCGACAACAACTTCGCGAAAAATCTCAACCATCTCATGTGGTATGTAACCAAAGTATATATTTATTATTCAAATAAAAGCTTTTCAAAAATTTTAGTCGCATCCATGGCATCGTATAACCGGACAGCGACAAGCTAATATACAAATCTATACACCACAAGTAGCTGGTATTCATATAAGTGAAGCAGCAACTGTTTAAATACAATGTTATGAGTTCATCTGGTTTTCCATATGTTGTCATTTTTATGAAAAATGTAGTCTATACATATATATATATATTTGTTTTATTTCGTTTTCGTTTTTTTTTCTTTCACTTCTTGCTGTCGTCATTATACTTCATGCATTAGTCTAAAAAAATTATTTTTTTTGCGTGCATTAACATAAAGACCTTTGATTTTTTTTTTCAAAATAGACGATTGTATAAATATATGGAAGTGGTTTCATTGAAGGAATGATTTACCTAGAAGTACTAGTTGAATCCATAGATGTTTATTTTAATTACACATTGCTTAAAATAGTTCATGATAGAAATGATTTTAACCGGTAATGGTACATTTAAATATTATTATAGTATATTGTTCACAAAATCAACATGACGAGAATTCGTTGCATAAATTGTATACAGATTCAATTCACTATTGAAATATATATACTTAATCTCTATTAGATCTGTACATGTAAAATGTCTATGTTTAGTTCATTTTTTAAAAACAAAATAAGACTAATCTCTTAGATTAGTTATTGTAAAACATAACATTACATTTTACTCAAACGAAATTGATAAGTTCAACACTTGAGACATAATGTTTAAAACAAAATCTAATACAACTCATATAGGATTAAAATATAAAACATAAGAGAGTTGTTTTTTATCAGGTACGTGTCACGATATTTTAAGAGAGAAAGTACAAATAAATGATCGTCATCCATACATTCTATTTGTTATTTACGAAAGTTTTTTTTTTAATCAAATGAATTCTATTACAAAATGTACGAAAAATCGGTTTTCTTTTATAATAATAATCAAATATTGAATATAATTGACTACTTGTATTGACTATACTATTTTATTTTGGGTCATACATTGTGTGACATGAAAGTCCTTGCATAAGCACCTGTATCGTCATTGCCAATCAATTATTTATCATACTCCATAATATTTTTTTTCGTTCGCGTAATAGAAAATGACATAAGCCAAACTGATTAAAATCTTATCAATGGTTTTACTTTTATTTCTCATTAATTATTTTTAAACGAAAAAAAAATGATCCCTATAGAACTTTTTAAATAAAATATTTTTCACAAAATTAACGATAAATCGATAAACTTATAATTAGAAAGTTAAAAATCGATAAAAATAAGTCAAGTATTAATATGAGATCAATTAACATATGTCTTGTACATTTATAAATATTACATCGAGTCTCTTCTTTATTTAATAAAAAGATTAGATCGATAATAAAATTAAATATTCATTATGCACGTTTTGTATATATTTATATTTTTTTGATCCTCTCGTGAAAAAATGCATTTGTATGTTAGTGGAATGGGCTTCATTTGACTTGATTATTTTTATTTGTCAATTGCTTTACGTTATGTCAACGAAAACCATTGAGAAAAAATAACCTTCATGTACAAGGCAAACGTCTTTCTAATATGAATATTATAAGCCAGAATAAACTATTGTTTTACATTATGTATTGTATTTAGTGTACGTCATGTGTTCTTCAGACAAGAAGGTCACATATTTATCGATATGAACAAACACTTAACAAGACAGTGTAGAAAAAATATAACAGATACAATCAAAGCAAGAAAATATAAAACAAGCAAGTGTCAGAATATTAATCGGACTGGTTACTGTTGGCTATATACTAATCCAGACGCATTAACCTTTGATCGAACTAATCACGATTCAACAATGAACATTTTCGGAATAGGATGAAAAGAAAATCGATTATATTATATGCATCAAGTTTCTTTACAGACAAACAACCTTCATTTATTCCTTTTATCGATCTAAAAATAAGCGAAACATTAAACGATATATCGTTTATATTGTCCTTGATTTTGTTGGTGCCATCAGACACGACTATTGTGCATTACAAACTAAGCAGGTGGGTTACATCATAAAATAGCTTTTTTTTTCAATATGTGAGGATGCCTGTTCTACGTATTTCGCTTTTCTTTTTCTTACCGACAAGCAAATATTGCGTACACATGTCTATTCTCTCGAATATCCTGTCATTATCGTTAGTATTATATGTTTTTGTCAAGTCAGTTAAATAGAAAAAAAAATGTGAAGCCACATCAACGCTAGTAGGAATATTTTAGATTATTTATTTTGTTTTTCGTCTATACATATTCAATAATCATTAACTTCGGTGAATAATTATTTGTCTTATCAAGCAAAAAAATATTTCAGGTAAGAATAACAAAAGTAGAGATAAAAAGAAAAAGAAAACGTGCATTAAATAGATAGTTGACGCAATATAACTGATATAAAAACATTTATCGTTGTTGCCTTTTTAGTTTTCTGTACGTTAATATACCAGGTAATATAATAATGTTTTATTTTATTTGATTTTATAGACGCAAAGAAATAAAGAATAATATAAAAGTTTGATGTAGACACAGTATATAGACACTCTGATTATTAAGTATGACATGAATGAATAAGAAATTAATAGTAAATAGATGAATGAACAAACTATCTATAGATATGATCGTCCATCTAACGCTAAAGTCAATCAAGTCCTTGATATACGTAACAAAAATATAGACGTACGATTGAGAATAATTGTAATCGTTTTGACATTAATCAAAACAAGGGACAAATGAACAAATGTACATAAACATATTTTGATGATTATGACTCTTTCGAACTTTCAATGATTAATTTATATATAAAGAAAGGAATAAATTAATAAATGATAAATTAAATACTAGTCATTTACAAGGGAATATATTCAAATGTCGGACGCTATTCTTCTCCGTACTCATGGCGTACTGTTGAAGATTAATGGTAAGTTTAATGAACTATTTACTGCGTGCAAGCCATTTTCGACAAATTCAAAATAAAATGCTTTTAGCTGGAATCCTGTCTGTAGGTACGTTTGATAGTCATTTAGATAGTTCTAGAAGTTTCAACAAAAATCAAGATGTCTTTCTCGAAATAATGAACATCTAATAATACAACAATCAAATTTACTTAGAATTTAAATATCTCGAGGTAGACATATGCATTTTCATCGAAACTTTTAAAACTATCAAACGTATTCACAAATATAAGTTGAGCTCGAAAAAATTTGTTTTGGATTTTTCCAAAAAGGCGTCCGACAGTGGAATATGTGCCTTCGTTAATGCACTATTTGGAAATTCCAATTAAGCAGTTGATAATTGTGACATAGAAAACAAATCTCTGAATTAAATCATCTATGGCATCTCTTAGATAAATATTCTTCGTCTTTTTGTTTGGTCTATGCACAGGCTGAACATATGTGTCCAATTTATTTTGGCATTTCTTCTTCTTTTTTTTGCCTTGTTTGATCTTCATCTATTTGTGTATGTTGAGATAGGAAAAAAAGGTTTATGATTTATATCAGGAGAAGAGAGAAAAGAGCATCGTTGGGGTGTAATCGTACATTTGTATGCTGACCAGCATTAATATTGATTCGACGTTAAAGTGTTATACCTATTTTACTTTATAACAATGATCAGTTTTATGGCAATAATTGCTGAATATTGTTGGAGAACGAAAGTGAATAAACAACGAGACTATCGTATGTATTGAGACATCAATTTAAATGATGCATACATCGAAACTATTATCGATTTGAATAGAATGTGTGAGAGTGGAGGTGTGATGGTATGGGTGTCCACTTTTGTTCTTTAATTTTCTATCAATATATACTTTTTGTTACATCACATCAGTCTTTCATTTGAGTACATTGTAATTATATAGTGTACGGTGTGATGTACTACACCATTGTATATATATCTGTCTTCCTTCTTTGTTCATACTAATTTGTCCTACAGGTTTAAATTACACACATTCACGCAAATGAACCTAGTTATTCAGACGCCTCCTGTCCATCAAATGACTAGAGATGGAAAAAGATAAATATCCTAATCTACCCTATATTTTAATGTGATCAGACCGTCGAATGTGAGCGATGCTAATGATTCATATAAAAGAAGCTGAAATAAATTTTGAATCGAAGGGAAAGAGAAAAAAGGACGAGATTGAACAAAGTGTAGAGTAAGAGAGAGAAGCGAGAACGAAAGACAATGGCCGAAAGAGTCTAATGTGCTCTATAAAAAAAAAATAAAGCCATTCATTTATACATTCTCACCAGCAATGAAGCCTCAGAATTGAACGAGAACAAAAAAAAAGAGAAGTACAGTTGCTCATTTCAACTAATCATAATTATGGGGAAGTTATAGAGTCAGAAAAAGAAAGTCTATGGGTTGTAAGTAAATAATTGAACCATTGAATAAGGTAAATTTTTTGTTCATAACTCTTTCTCTCTTTTTTTTTTTAGTAAAGTACATTCAAAGGATGGCTACGGCTGTCGAACAATTAGTAATTGATCCACAATCCCGTTTTCTTGAAATGAAATCTCTGCAACCATATTCAACTACAGATGAATATTTATATGCTATGAAAGAAGATCTTGCAGATTGGCTTTCAAATATGTATTCCGAATGGCGTCCAATTACAGCTGATAACTTTATTCAATGCTTAGGTAAGAAGTCCTATATTTATTGTTTCTTATTACTGTCTATGAATGATGATAGACAACAATGAATTAGTTTAAGAGTCAAAATAATCATTTGTTATTTTAGCATTATTTTTTCTTGTTATTTGTCTATTGACTTTTGTTGTTTGCCTTTAGCATAGAACGGATAGATGAGTTTAAAGTGTTTGATTGAAAAAAAAAGACAACAACATGTTCAACTGGTCTATTTGACACAATGCATCTAATTTTATGTTATATTAAGTTTTTTGAACATTGAATAGAATTCTAAGTTCCATGTTTAGTGTCTGTTCAATATTAGGGTCTATTCTTTTATGCTTGTTAAAAAATTCAAAGAACAATAAATTCTAACGATGATTAAGAGTAAATGATGCGAATAAAAATAAACATTGTCAGACAGACAGACGAATAGTTGAATAGTCATTGCCGGAAGCCATTCAAACTAACTAGATTATTCTTAGACAATGTACATATCGAAAAAAATGTTAATTTTAACTTTTGTTGAAGATTAGCAAACATAATATAAATATGTAGAGTTGACTGAGCATTAAACATTCATAGGTTGTATTTTTGTGGGGCTGTTAAATCAATAAAAAAAAGTCGAGTTGAACCTGATTTCAACTAGAGAGTATTCATTTAGCAAATGCTTCATAGTACATATGTGATGACATTAACGTTGGCGTTCTTGACTGTCAAAAAATTTTCCATCCTTCTGATATATAATATTAGAAGGTGGAACACCAACTTTAATGTCATCATACCATACAATAAAATGTAATTTAGTAGAAATCAATCAAGTCAAATTTTTCAGATGTTTAACAAACTTTTATTTTTAATACTTAGAAAATGGTGTTCTTCTTTGTCAACATGCTAATAATGTAAATAATGCTGCACGTAAAGCATATTCTTTAAAATTAGCACCTCGACCATTAACATTGACACTTGAAAATTGTAAATACCGTTCTGATGCTCGCCCACAAACATTTAATGCTCGTGACAATGTTTCACAATTTATTAAATGGGCACGGCGTGTTGTTGGTGTACGAGAAGTTTTAATGTTTGAATCGGATGATCTAATATTACGAAAAAATGAAAAAAACTTTCTTCTTTGTTTACTTGAAATTGCACGTTATGGTTCACAATTTGGTGTTAGTGTACCAGTTATAATAAAATTAGAGGATGAAATCGAACGAGAAATTCAACGTGATAAACAAACAGAAATAATGTCATTTACTGAACTACGACGCTTACAACGAGAAGAAAATCTTAAAAATATTTCAAATTCGTCACATCATGGAAAATATAGTCGATTACTAAAATTTGTTCGAAATGAAAGTCTTGATTCAAATAATAATAATAGTGAAACAACGAAAAATTCTTATAATAGTTTTTCTTTATCACATTCAAATGGTGCTAACTGGTTAAGACAACGTATATCACGTATACCAAAATTTACACATACTAATAGTAAGAAACGACAAGACAGTGGAGAAAGTCATGATAATTCAACATGGAGTGATGCAACAATAACAGCAATTACATTAAATAAAGAACAAAAAATACCACAAATTAGTCGAACTTTAGGAGAAGGTGAAAATCGAGTTGAAACGCCAACGACATCGTCACAATTACATAAAACAGTAAATTTTACAGAAAAATTAATAAATGAAAAGAATTATTCTATTCTTTTTTGTTTTTTTTTAGGTTGTACAAATGACGAATTCATGTTGTTGTGCACAACGTTTTCCTGTTATACGTATTGGTGAAGGAAAATATAGAATCGGAGAAAGTGGAACAATTATTTTTATTAGAGTATGACGTTTTTTTGACCATAATAATAATAAGTTAATCGTTTACTTTCTTGTTCTTATATAGATTCTCAGATATCATGTAATGGTTCGTGTTGGTGGGGGTTGGGATACTCTTGAGAATTATCTAAATAAACATGATCCATGTCGACGTACAGGTAGGAAGTCAAATGTAATGTGAATGCTTCTTTTATTAATTAATATCTATGAAAAGGTCATCGCCGATTAGAACCTAATGAACATCATATTGATATACCAATTCTAGCTGTACCAACTAATAACGTATCATCTAGTTTTCAAAAAACAACTCCATATGGTAAATCAGTAACAATAAAAACTGAAGAATATCCACTTTCAAAACTAACAATGCATGATACGAATCTAATAAATGCACAACTTATTATAACACGTGATGCTGATGGACGTCATCATATTGGACAAATAACATACAAAAGTGAAGATAATCTTAATCAATTACATTCATGTCCTCAACATCATAATAAACAATCATCTCCGATACCAAAAGTAAAAAGTGTTCGTGGTACAGGACGTTTAATAACGTCATCTATTTATGATAAACAATCATTAACAAGTACTGATCAAGATTATTCATCATATACACCAACATTATCAATTGAAACTAATCGAAGTAATATATCAATAAGTGATAGTCAACAATACAAAACTGACTCAATTATTGAACAACACTCACAATCTAAAATTCTCAAGCATAACTCTAAAGAAAACCAACAAAAATTAACATCAATTAATAAAAAATCTCAATTAGCAGGCTTTACAGAATCATATATTGATAATATTGATGATTTTATGCCATCAACTTTAGATGAATGTGAACATGATTTTGATATTAGTGATATTGATGATGTTATGCAAATAAATAATCATGACGAAGATCGAACAAATATAGATGAAGATAGTTTAGAAAGTTGTGAAGGTGTTTTAGAAATTAATAAAAAATCAACATCACCATCTCGTCCAATTATATCAGATATAAAACCAATTATATCAAATGTTAAACCAGGTGGAATTTGTACAGCACTCTATTTAGCTCAAAAACAAAAGCAAGCATCTAATAATAAAAAATTATCATCAACATTTTTATATACACGTTCAAATACATTACCAAATGTAATTGAAGCTATAAACAAAGAAAATCAAATCAATAAAAGACATCGTAAAACAGCAGTTGTTACACAACGTTCACAATCAACAGAATTATTTGATAAAAGTTTCTTAAATGATACATCAAAACTTGATCGAGATTCAGGTTTTGATGAACAAGATTTTCGTTGTGAACGTTCACATTCAAGTTATGATGATAATTCAAGTATATCATCTATAAAAAGTGTACGAAGTTCAATGGCTCGTTCATTATCATCTGATCTTAATGGACAAGCATATCGTGAAAATAAAGCTTATGAATTACGTTTAAAAGCACTTGATTATACAAAAATTTTAAATGAACAAGTAATACAAGATCCAAGATTAAACATACGAAGAAATTTTAATTATACATCGACACGAACAAATGATACAATTCATCCAACAACACATAAATATAGAAAAAATAGTCAATCAAATTTTTATCTCAAACGTCAACAATTTTAATGGATTTCTGGTTTAAAATTTTTTTCTTTACCTTTTTTGTTTGTTTGTTTTTTTTGTGCACAGTGATTTACTAGAAGTTTTTTTTGTCTTTAAAATCATTCCTTGAAATTAATATATCTTGTATAGGTGTTTTTTTTTGTGCTTTATGCTGTGACTATTGTTAATTCATTATATTTACGACAGCGTTAATTAAAGTTATTTTCGAACCCTAAAATTTGATAAAGTCATGGTAAAGAGAACTCACTCAAGTTGAGGTTTTTCTTAACACAATCTGTGAGGACTTAATTACAAGAAGGAAAAACAAAAACGCAGATAGTTTGAACTCTATTTAATCAAATCTTTTTTTTCATGATCTTATCCTTCTCAATATCAAAGCATTCGAAATCATACGTCACTATTCATTATTCACATATAGATTGAACAGTTCTATAGAAGAAGAAAGATTTTGTATGAATAGCTATTATCAATATATTCTACAAGTCTTCATTGGACCTTATTGGAAAGAAGAACAGAGGAAGCTGCTCTGTTGGTCTCAGATTCTGACCCGACAGATAATAATGAGCAGTTTCATCTAATATTGTGTACTTATAACAATGAGATGAGATTGGCTTAAGTCTACTTGGATCCTGGGTGGTAGTCGCATAAATAAAAGTTGTATTTGATATTACAAAGTTTTTTTGCATAGAAGTTTATTGTTTTCCGTAGGATCAACAGGCAATGATACAAAGGAGTCAGGAATCGACAGAGTGAGTATTTATGTGTGTAGATATTCGTTTCACGCACACCCAAAAAAGTCTGAAACACTTACTTGCTGAATTAAAAATGATTAGTGAACATATATATATTATGCATCGATGCTTACACTCGTTCATACATGAAAATATGTCATCAATAGCCAATAAAAATTAAATTTGTCAAAAATCTATTCGTTTTTCCCCTTTTCTAATAAGAATTTTCTTTATTAATAGAAGAGAAAATGTCATTAATTAATTTTGTTATGAATTCAATTTACGAATTCATGATAAGATTTTCATTGATTTTTATATTAATAATCAATTTTCTTCTTAAAAACTAGATCATCATCTTGTTTGTTAGTATTCGTTGATATTGATCCAATGCATATTTATATAGCTTGATTTCTTGCCGTAGAAGTTTTTCAAAATCAGTCTATACTTGATTAGTAATAGAATCAAACGATATTTCAACTTCAACAATTTCATTTGATTAAGAACATTATATTACAAGCAGAAGAAAAGATTTTTTTATAATTAAAAATTCTAGACGCAATATTTTTCATATTTACCTTGGTCTTTGTTAGAATATTCTCAGAATCGATCAAGATCTTTTAAAGGTTTTTTTCTCAAATACTTTTTAGTTCCAAATTGTAAATGAAAAATTATCAAACGTCAGTTCACTTTTACAGTTAATTTTTAAGTATATTTTTTTCACCGATTTTACGCATCAAAACATCTACTTGAGCATTTTTTTAAACGAAAAATACTCAAAACATTATTTTAGATGTTATTTGACTGTCAATTGATAAAAAAAAAGTACGAAAGGAACTATTATTCTTAATTATACTGATGAAGAATAAATTGTTAAGAAATATATCAATTCACGATGATTTATTTAATGAAACTATTCAAGATTTATCATGGAGTAAAAAACAAAGTGAATGAATATTCTTCGAAAATTTGATCGATATTGTAGTTCTTATAATTTAATAGTAGAGAAAAAATATAGTAAAATAACATATACTGCAAAAAGTAATATTCGAATTGATATGTTATCTTTTGATCGATTTGTAGAGCAGTTATATAACCAATAGTTGTTATACAGACATTTATTGCTATCAATGATAAAGAATTTAATACTAATAAAAGCATAAAACTCTACATGATAAAATCACCAAGATCAAGAGTTGAGCGGTTGCTATTTTCATTTGGTTGACTATCAGCAACATCAAAAGTAATAGTAAAAGTCGGAAGGAACTGATTGAATACCTATTGAGATCTCTTCAAATGGTTTTCTTTTGTAGATATCTCCTTTCAGATGTAGATAAGTAATGCTATTTCAACAGAAAAGTAAATTAAATTTTAATAAAAAATTTAATATAAATAATTGATCTTTTGCACTGTTTTCTTCGCTTTCAACATTCTTCATAGAGAATGCTTATCTTTTCAGAGCAGAAGTGAAAAATATATTTTTTGAGACTTTTACTTCTATCTAAATAACAAAACAGTTGTATAGAAAACTTATTAACAGCAAAGACCTGAAGGGTAAGACTTTTTGATACTCTGTATCTTACCCTAGAGCAATTTTCATATCGTTGTCCTACCTAGTGATGTAATCAGGATAAGACTGGTGTAGACTGAATCTAGCCACCGACCATTGACAAAAATCAATTGTTTTCTAACATGATGAAGTCAACAAAACGCAAGACATTCGAATTTCCTTCCTATGTCTCCCTCACTTAGTACTAAGTGAATCGTCGACTGCGTACATGGTTAAGGATAACTTAATATCCTTAATAGAGAGACGTCTGTTGTGATAGTAATGAGTGATTGGGTGTGGGTGTGGGTGTTCATTGTCTACTTATATGTAGTCACAGTCACAACCATACGCTAAATCCAGCCTTATCCGTTACGGAAATTTGATTAAAACTGTTGCTCATACTGAGAGATATGCATTACATTTGTTTTGAAATATTCTGTAAGAAATAAATCAATTAAAAAAAAGTGAGCAATCATCTTCAAGGTGTTTCGGACGTTGTTATTGCAGTACTTGTGTCTGTTCTTTCCTACTGACAATTTGTAGGCATACATCAAAATATAGTATCATATAGTGTTTTTTTATGGGCTATTCAATCAAACTTTGTAGTGAAATAGAATCAAGTCATTTTTTCTTTTTTCTTTTGTTCGGCAAACCACGCTACGTTAAGGCGAAGAAGTTTAAGTAGCAAACGAGATAATCTCACAAATTTCATTAATTTCTTTGAATCCATTTGAAGTTCTAGTAATAAGAATGCTAGAAAGTACGTTTCATTTAATTTCTAGTCTCAAAAAGTGACAGCATCACGAAACAAGAAAAGAAAGTCATCGTTTTTGTACTGTATTCATACATTTTCTACTAGCATTATATCTTCACCAGAGCCTAGAATTTATATCCTAGAGCGATCTCGTTTCTACAACCATTCAACATAAAGAAACTGAAGCATGGGCAATAGAACCCATGACTGTACAAAACTCTTTCAATCTTGCTTTGTTGAACAGAATTTCATTTTATATGAGAATACAGATCAATGGTTACTTAATTATGAAATTCAATGTCATTTCTATGTCTTCTTCAGTATGGCTACTGTGGTTTGATCTTCACCTTGCTAAGTCGCATTTCCAATTTTTGAATTCGATTATCTTTAGTACGAAGCAGTTTTTCATACAGTTTTACTTTTTCTTGAAGCAGTTTTTCATATGTTTTCACTTTTTCTCGAAGCTCACCGATTTCTTTGTCTTTGAATCGCAATGCTTCCTTACAAGGGGCTAGAGAATCGACATCATGGTTAACACCTGTAATACCAGATAGATTGACACCTTTACTGCCAGGTGGAATGGTAGCTTGTTTTGTTGCCGTTTGAACTTGTGGCAAACGAAGTTGTTCAACATTGTATGAATGCCCTGTTTCCGAGTGTTGATATGATGTATGCTGGGTACGAATCGGATATTCTTGAAGTGTCTTTCGTAACTGAAGAAGAAACAGTACGGCAGCACGATGAACTCCGTTGGTAATATCAACCAAGATCATATTTGGTACATGCAAGCCTAACTTCGGCAACACATTGGTGCTCAGATGATGCCAATTAGCTGTACGCTGTGCCATATTTCGAGCTACATGAATTGTATTCAAATCAATCAATTGCGGAAAGAAGTAATGAATAATATCAGCAGTTAGAATGCCATCCGAAAAGTCTTCCCCTAAATCCCACACCGGTCGTGAGAGAGGAATTGTAGCGAGCCACGACAATAAATAATCGTGGATTTCGGTATGGAGGTAAATGTAATAGTTGTGTTCGTTTAAACGATTGCATCTTAAGTCTAACATCTCACGGACGGTGTTTCGTTCGAAATGAGAGAAAAAAAAGAAAGTGAAAGAATGAAATTACAAATGGAAGAGAAAAACAGCAACAACAACGACAGTCGAAGGCACCCATGACAAAAAAGCCAACAATATTATGACTATTGCTTCGACTTCTATTGATGAATTTGAGCGAAACAATTATGACTTCATCCGTCATCTTTGAACAAAAGAATGATGATCATTATGTTCAGTGTTCTTATTAACGATGTTCTTTTTCTAGGAAGACAAATTCATTGGATTTGAAAAAAAAAACTGTCAGTTTTTTCTAATAATTATTGAAACAAAAACCAGTGAAGGTGTAGATGTGAGTTAGATGAAAAAGCGAATTCACAATGTGTATAAAGCAAGCAGAAAAATCCGCAAAAACAAATATAAAAAAATGAATATATAAATAAATAAACAAATGAATAAATGGAATTTCTGTTTTCTAATATATAAATTTATTGAAGTGCTTTTTCTTATTTTAAAGTTTGAACCTACTCTTTTTTTACTTTGTTTGTCAAGCATAAATGAAAGAAGCTGATTTAGAATGAAGTTTAGAAAAAAAACAGAAAAGGATAAAAAAATCTTCTGTAAATGTTTTTAATATGAAAAAAATGCGCTTGATTTTTTTTCAGGCATCGAAACAAAACATTAAAGCCCTTGAATATGAGAAGATGAGGTTGTTTTTCGAATTTGCTTTAAAATATAGTCTTATTGATTGAGAGAAAAAAATCAGCTTATATTCTAGAGAGCTTTTATTGAGCAAATCTTATTGAATTGATATCAAATGAGCTTATGTTTTTGAGATTTTTGTTTTGAAAAAAAGAAAATGACTTTGCTTTGTAATATCTCTTGAAAAAAAAAGATGTGACTCTGTTTCTTAA